TTTAAGTGAGTTAAGAAGCAGAAGGCGTTTTAATACCTGCAGATATTCTTGTCCATCGTTAGTTAAATAATGTTTAGTTTTTATCATGTTTCTCGTTCTGAACACACGTTAATGCAGCATTTGAACATTTTTTTTCAGATTTCTTCTTATTTGCACTTTTATCTGAAGATGTCTGATGACGTAACTTACCAACAAAAGCTGGTGTCATGGCTCAACTAAAATACTGCAATCCTGGAAAATTATTCAGTCTCACAGGAACTCATGTAACCTTGCCTGTAACCTGAATTCTTGTGTTATCTGTGCGTTGCTAAACACATAAGAATCCATCTTGTCCTGCTGCAACCAATCAAGACTAAACCAAAACTTGTCGGCTAGTCCTGTTGCAGCATGATGTTTTAAGGTGGGTTATGCAGACGTGGAGTAAGCAGTAACAATGTAGAACGGAGCTTAGCTGCTGCTGTCACATCTGTCCTGTAAGGATCCGTAATTTTGCCTTTGAAAGAAGATCAGAAGGACTTGCTGCATATGTTGAAAGGCATTTTAGACCAAACCAAACTTTGGTAGGCAGGAACTAGGTTTCACTTAGTCCAATCAGCTCTGAAGGTTTTGCTACATGTCTCAACTTTACCCAGATTCAATAAGGCTCAGATTGACAATGTGCAGAAATAAGGCAAGAATACTACACATTATAATCTGGCTTGCTAGATTAGGACTCATAGACGGATTACTTAAGCCTAGATCTTATTTTCAGGAATGCATATGTACATTTTTACTGTTATTCTCTGCAGAAAGGCTCAAACAGGAGAAGAATGCATTAAGATAAAGTTGTTCCCCTTATCAGAAGAGGATTACTTCAAAGTTTACATTTCAAGTTAAAACAATATGACACGATTTTCTATTTTATGTCCTGCTGGGGAGATGTGAGGCACCCTGTACTGATTTTCTGTTTGATTTAAACACTTTTAGGATTGCATTTGGAGCATCTTTTTTACACAGTATGTTTTAAATAATGATCTTTGAAACATTTCATTTGATCTGCTTTTGGTTGTTAAAATATAAAGCCTCTCAATAATCTTTCTGTATGAATGCCATCCTTTTGCATATGTGTTTTCACTTTGCTAACCCTGATAATATTTCATTGGTTGATGGAAACAAAGCTTACATACATTAATGAATGTGAAGTGCCGTGCATTCATCATAACCGATAAAGCATAATTATTCTGGAGCAACCCTGCAGTAGGATGCAGAGTCCTTGGCTTTCTCTCTTCTTAGATGTTTTTTTTTTAATGAACAATGAATCATTCTTTACGTGCCTCTTCACATTTTTTTTCAAAACAGAACAATTTATCTGAGTTTATTGAAAGAGAGGTTACAGTGTTCTAAGGCATTCTGGGAAAATATACCTTTTTGTTCTTACAGATCAGAATACCATGTTTGTATTTCTAGACTTTTTATAATGTAGTTAAATTGATTGAGAACTTGATATTTTCATGTTTCTTTTTTTGTTTTGTTTGGAATTTTTATAAATTGGAAGTACTATTATTCACTATATGTACATATTCTATATATAGTAAATGAAAATCATTGATGTTCTGGTTCATTTGCATCTATGTGAGGGTAACGGCATGCGTCCAGTTACTATACGTCCCTGCATTTGTTCCATTGTTGCCCACGCAAAGCTATTTTTAGTTTCAGTGGCGTGTCAAGGTGTGATCAGGTTGCACCGTGTGTAAGTAGACTCTTCTTTGTCCTGTGTGATCACTTTAGACAGACGGCCACTAAAACTTTCATCAGTTGGGAGGTCAGATGTGTTTTACAACCCTTTTTTTAGGGGATAAGTGCTTTTTCTTTCAACTGGAATCCAAAAAAAAAAATGTATCAATTGAAGGAGACTTTTAAGTCTCTGAAGGATTGTGTTGATATTAATGAATGCAAAGAATAATTGAATTCCCTTTTAATTTGATATTTAGTTCAGTTCTGCTAAAAAGAATTCTGGAATGGGATAAATAGGGTGACAGTAACAGCAGTTGTACAATGTACTTATAAAACTTAAAGCTGGAGTAAATAAGCCATGGTCAATAATGTAAACAAGTTTCCTATAATCATATATATATATATATTCTTTGCAAGGGCTGCTCAGTGGTGCAGTGGGTAGCACTGCTGCCTAGCAGCAAGAAGTTTCTGTTTTCGATTCCCGGCCTTGGGTCTTTCTGCATGGAGTTTGCATGTTCTCCCTGAGCATGCGTGGGTTCTCTCCGGGTACTCCGGCTTCCTCCCACAGTCCAAAAACATGACATGTTAGGTTAATTAAGGTTAAGTGTCTAAAAATTCTCCTTAGGTGTGAGTGTGTGTGTGAATGGTTGTTTGTCATGTTTGACTCTGCGCTGCCCTGCGATGGACTGGTGACCCGTCCAGGGTTTCCCCCGCTTATCCCCACTTGGGATTAGCGTATCAGATAATGGATGGATGGATATTCTGTGCAATTAAGAGAAACAAAACAATGAAAACAGCAGAAAAAAATTTGGCGGCATTGGTGAGAACACTGTACCAAATACATTTTCAGCATTCAGTTGCCTTATATGGCTTTGCAATGTTGGATGTTCCTATTTTGAAATTTAAAGCTACAGTGTGTAATAATTACAGTGATATACAGTCAGAAATGTAATATATTTTACATAACTATGTTATTTTATCATCATCTACGAGCTCAGCCTCTTAACCTTAATATTTGCGTTGCCTTAGAATTCGTTATTTATAATTACATAGGAGCGGGTCTCGCAGCCATGGAGGCAGACATCTTTGCGCTACGGCAGCACAGAGCCAACAAACTAGCAATTGCGAGATCGCCCATTACGCTCGAAAGTAACTATGGCAAGTTGAGAGAGATGAACTGAGACGTTACTGAACAATAGATGGCAGTATTATGCCTGAGATACTATCTGTAAAATTATCTATGTAAACAAACCTCATCACTTGAGAAGGTAGGTGATGCGGACATCGTGGAAGACATTTTGTCCCGTAACGCTCGATGTACTGTTGGGGGGGAGAAGCGGTGGGGGGGAGATGTTCATGTTGCTGCGGTCTGCAGTCTGGATGTTAGATGTCACTAAAAATTACACACTGTAGCTTTAAGTCTTAGTTTGTCGTCTTAGTTTTGCAATAATTTTGCTAATTTGCAAATAATAAATATTTAACTGTTCATTTTTTCAGTGTTTGGTTTGTTGCAGGATGCGTCTGGGCTTTAAAATCCCAATCAGGTGATGATGATTTTTATGCATATCAATATTAGTCTGATGGGCAGAACTGGGCCAACATTAACAACATATGTTCTTGTTCAGTCGTTCTTTTTGTTTTAGGAGGGTGAGGGAAGGTTATTGGTCATGTGATAGTGATTCAGCACTGGATTGTGGGTGTTTAACCAGAGCAGAGTAGCAATATCAGCACTTTGGTTGCTTTTTCTCCAAAGGGTAAAGATGCAAATACCAGGTATTGGCTATAGCAGCAATATTAATATTCAGATTTTGACATCTGTGGATTGATACTCTTGATGGTGTCTATCCACACTACCAGAATACACTCGCCCCTCCTCAAACTGTTTCTACTCATCAAACAACCACCATCCCAAATATATTTAGTCTGAATGGATCCTAATTCAGATCAATCCTACTTCCTTAAGCAGAACTTGATTAGCTGATGTTTAATACTGTAAATATATTTTTTGAATGATAATTTTTTGCAGTATAGCTTTAAAAAAAAACAATACTAAACATTGTGCCTTTAAGTATGATGAGTAAAGTGATCAGATGTAATAGAACAAATAAAAAAGAGGCTCTTCATCATATTTCTATGAAAAACAATATGTTGTTATCTTTGGATCGGATTTTATTGCTCATGCTTTTACTATTTGGTATGACCTGACACTTTGATCACAATGTAGTATGCAATTGTTTTATATAAATAAAGATTAAATGAATAAATACAGATTGAGCAGACCTCCTATGCGTCTAAGGTGTGGCTTTGCGGGATAAAACCTTATTCATCTTATTTAAACAACCCGACTTGCCAGTTCCTGTTTTACTCCCGATAAAATCAAACTCTAACCTCTTTGCCCCATAGCTGTTGCGAAATAAAACTCCAAAGTGCACCATAGCCAGAGTGATCCTGTGGGATGAGGACTGTGGACAAGAGCGTTTCCTTATTTGAATTTAAAATAGCCCACACTGCCAGGCTTTCCTTTCTAATTTCATTTTATCCACTGAAAGATTATTTTTTTCCACAGAGGATTTTACTCATCAAGCTTAAGAATATTCCTGCCGCTTATTGTTAATTTAACCAATTTGAATTTAATTAGTGCAATTTCATGTGTTATGTAGATAATATTCGTATCTTTCAGTGTAGCTAAAAAGCTTTGAACATTAAGGATTGAAGTTCCTAAGATTTAGGGATCTAGATTAAGCAGAACTTGATGTTTGGTGTCTTTTACAGCCATTACCCCAAATTTTCAGGATTGGGATTGGAATTACATCATCGCCTATGACTAGAGATTAATATAGGTGGTAAATTAGCACTGGAGAGGCAGAGGAGAGAATGTGAAGAATTTAAGGAACAGCTGAACATAAATCTGAGAGGGTTAAAAAGAGGAAGAGACGACTGCTGAGTCATCCTTAGACAGAACACAACATCTCCGACTCTTTCTCGTCACCATGAAGTGCCGCTGGCAGTCTCTCCTCCAAGCTGCTCCAAGTCCTCCTCAAATAAATATCCGCAGCTGAACCGGAAAACTATGAATAATTAATCTACTAACTAAGTCACACTGAAACCCAAGTTCTTGCAGTTATTCGTTGACTTGTCAGCACGCCAGCTGCGGCAGAATCTGGCAGCTCAGTTTCCTATTGTCACTAGTGCAGCCTGTGACCATGTAGCAGCCTTTTATTATTGCTAATATTATTATTAAATAGTGATATTTGAAAATGTTTACGTCTGTTTTTGCTTTTCTGCAGGAAAGCCATCTCTAGATCAGGCCTCCATTACCTCGGCCCACCTCAGCCAACGTTCCCCCCAGCCTCCAACGGACCAAACAAGGAGCTCCGTACCTGTGTGGACTGGACGGTGAGACACTCAGACTAGCTTAGTTATTTGCATTTATTTACTTACTTGTGGAAAGTATAAAAAAAAGTATAAAAACTTTTTAAAGTTTCCTATCTGTCTGAGTCACGCCATGACATTTACAGTTTCAATTTAACAGATTTGTCAGCAGACGGTTTCCCAGTCATACATTTCTGAGGATACAAAAAAACAATCATTTCCCTCCTTTTCTTTATTTATAATGCGGGAAGATGTGTAAGCAGTGTGGGAGAGAAACTTTCATGTCACCGTTTCACAAGATATGACTTTTACAGCATTTAATGGATTTTGTTTATAAAACATGAATCATGAGACTGAAAAGCTGCTTTAAAATACTCTGTGCTGCAAAGAGTCGCAGGGGAGCTGGGGAAAATGTCAAGAGGCGACGGAAAGTACGCATAAGACGGTCCAAAAGTGCAGAAAGAGTTTGAGTTGGCATTTTTATTTGCAGATAAACCCCATTAGCTTTCACTTCCTACATAAACAGAAGCTCTAAACTTGAAATCTAAAGTGCTCTGTGGTTCTGCACAAGTAAGTAATAACAGAAGGGCTGCAACTAACAATTATTTTGCAAATCCATTAACCTGTCGATTATTTTTTTGAATTAATCAATTAATAATTTGATAGCCAAAGGTTCCTTAGAGAAGATTTTTCCAAAATGAATCCGGGTCATTCTTAAACTTTTCCACCTGAGGAGTTCTGGATAGATCACATTGACAAACAAAAAAATTTTTTCTATCTTAAATGCAAAATGTTTATATATTATTTTACAATTACCGTAATTTTCGGACTATTAGCCGCACCTGAATATACGCCGCAGAAGCTAAATTGCATGGTTTGTACATATACAAGCCGCACCGGACTATAAGCCGCAGGTTTTTTATGTTTAATTACTGTATGGTTCGTGCACAGAGAGGATTGTCAGGAAAGAGGCAACTGTTTGGGGAAGCTCCTATTTATTATTTCTACCGATACGTTTGTTTTCCATAATTAGGGTGTCAAACAAACTGTCTTACGCTCGCAGTGTCCATCTTTCTCGCTGTCGTTCTGTCTCGTACCACTCGCAGTATAAGTCTAATTCCAGAGGACCTCTGCATTCCTGCTCGCGCGGCTACCATACTTGTGTGTTGAAGCAAATGTGACGTCAACATGGTGGATGTTAAAATCCATAGATTTAGGTATTACCCTAGTGGCCGTTAGCTGTAAAAGTCCATAGATAAGCCGCATTGTTATATAAGCCGCAAGGTCGAAAAATTGGGGAAAAGTCGCGGCTTATACTCCGAAAATTACGGTACTGCTGTAAAAGGGTTGCTTTGTCAGTTAAAGTTATGATTTACAGTTTCTATGCTCCACTTAACGATTAATCCTTTCAGACAATCATCATTTTAGCCCTAAATAACAGCATTCATAAGTTTTTACCTTATTGTGAAAATAGTCACATTGTGATAAAATAATCTTTCATCTGGATCGCTTTATTCTAGAAATCAATGGTGCACATTTTTTGGGTTTCTCTGCTGATCACCTCCTGTAACCCTCTTTAGCCAATAGGATTTTCCTGTTGATTTGAGCAGATGGAGATAGGGATCACAAACTGTTCCTCTCTGAACAATCTTTCCAGATTGTCCTGGACCGTCTCTCATATTCCCTTCAGGTCAGTCCACCGGTTTTTGATGTTTAGGTTTGAAGAATCTAAACTCAAAGACCTGATGTATTGAGTATTAACTTTGTTAAATTGGTATAGCAATCAGCCATATTTGTTATTTCAACTTTGTGCAAACCAATGCCATATTTCCTCTGCATTGAATCTCTGCCTTAGGGAACAGTGAGCAGCTTGCAGCACCCGGGGAGCTCTCTGGGGTTTAGGATCTTCCTCATGGACCCAGGGGGGTAGTCAGTGGGATCCAAACCAGAGCCTTCCAAGAACTGAAGCGCCCTTCTTTGTGGGCTAACCCTTCTTTTCTATAATAGAAACCAACTGGGACTCAATTTGACTTAAATACGTAGGACTTGTGAATTGACTTGGAATTGAGTACCTTTACTTGAAATGAGTTCATGCTCTTCCAGAACAACTCATTATGAATATAACAGTGGACATGCAGTACTTCCACATGTCCAACAGGACCATTTTATTGTGGAAAAACTAGGGTTGTCACGATACTAAACTTTTCAACTCGATACCGATACTAAGGAAAATATTAGATACTCGATACCATTTTCGATACCACAAGGATAAAATTTCAACAGAAATATTTTGATTAATAATTAAAATACAATAAATAAATAAATACAATAAACAATAAGAACAACATTTTGAGGTTGTTTGCTGTGCACAGTATTTAGCAAGCTTGATAAAAAACTTACAAAATTAAAATTAAGTTTTCCTTACTTGGCTATGCTTTGCACACATAACAATGACACTAGCCAAACCAGTTAAGAAACAAAAATAATTCTCAGCAGCTGCACCTGTTACAAAAAAAGTCTGAAACTGAAAAGTGCGCAGAATTATTCGATCCCACAGTGTTCAGAAAGTGCATTTTCCTCTATTCTGCACTTTAGATGAATGACTGTTTAGGTGCGACTGGCACTCGATACTTTTGAAAATGAGTATTGTATCCAGATACAACATTTCAGTATCGATACTTTTTTGAGTATCGATACTTTTGACAACCCTAGGAAAAACACAATCTTAAATCCCGCTAGATTAAAAAAAAAAAAACTCTACATGTGTGATGGTAGGATAGAAAATATATGTAGATGTTGGCTCTCCAAAAGTGATTTTTGGGGACTTCTTCTTCTGATCCTCCTCTGGGTGGTGACCAGATAGGTTTGGGTTATCATCCAGTCTGGGGGCCAGTGGCTAAAGCATATTAATGAAATCCTGTAAACAGTGATCCTACATGGAGAATAAAATGCTTAAATGCCTCGGGTACATCTATTTAAGTTAGACCCCCTTCTTTTTGTTGTCCTTTTGAGATAAAATCATTTTTCACATATTTCAGCAAGCCTTTAACCCCTTGAACCCTACGGACCCACCGGCGGGTCCAGCTGCTACATGACCTCGTAATTTTACCAAACCCCCAGTATTGATGTAAAAAACATATTTGGCACAGTTTGGTGACATTTAGGGATAAATCTGCCAAACTGCCCCCCCCCGCCTAAGAAATTTCTCACTAATACCATTCTAAAATAAATATGATTCATCTGATTGAGTCCAAATTTGGAATATTTTTACACAACATTTAGATTTAAAAGTCTGTACTACTTTTTTGTGCTATAAATAATATTTTGGTAGTGTTTTGCAATGTTTATTTAAAAGAAAATTTTGGCGAGGTTCAAAAAATGCAAAATATTTTGTATTTTGTCCCTAATATTTCAGGCAGGGTCAAAGCTACAATGGTGCTGACACCAGAAAACCATTCTCATCTTACCTTTAAAGACGTACCAAAAGTTTCTTCTTAAATCTAATAGCTTTGAGGCTATAAGTTATTTACTTTTGTGTGTTTTTGTCAGGCAGAAATTTATTTATACCCCCTTAGGGTGTAAGAGGTTAATCTTAGGAGAGAAAAAAAAATCCCAATTTAACAAGCACCCAGACTTTTTATCTATTGATTTGATTTAGTTTTGTTGGTGATGTATGTTGTTGTTCCAGTTATGCTGAGCTGCTCTTAGACTTTCACACAGTAACAAGTGTTGGAAGAATGGAAAATTAAAACCTCCCTCTCACTCTCAGGCCTCTTTATTATGACTACAGCATGTTTACTTAAACCTTAAAAACCAAAGGAATTTAATATCCCCAAATATTTCAATTATCAATAATAATAATAATAAGGTGCCACGGGTGTAATGATGTGTCGTAGTGAGTAGATCAGCTCTCAGGACATCATATATCATTAATGAGCTGCAAATAAAACATGCTTTATTATTAATGAGAATGTGTTAACTGTTTTGGGAACACATGGAGCTGCCTGCAGGGACATTTCCAGCACATCCTTACTAACCTTTAAATCTCTGCATGATGCATGCTCATTCATTTATATACATACACTCTATATATGTGTGACTGGTCATTATTTTCTAACACATTTCTTAAAGTCATACTACAAGATATATCCCCCCCGAAACGTTAAGGTCTTTGTCTCTGTGGAAAATAGCACAAGTCAACCAACTTCAGACAGCATCTTAACAAGCTCAGCAGATGCGCCGAGCTGTCTCCTCCTAAACGGCACAGTGGTTGGACGCGGCACCCACTGCTATCTTAGATTTGTTTCTGAGGATGAGCCAGACTTTCTTTCCATTTAATCCACGATTCTCCACACAAAGCAGGCTGTTTGAAGTCCAGCTCTGTAAGTGTGGCTCTATTTAACTCAAAAGTTTTGAATTACCCAATCAGAACCATAAAAAACTCTGATGACATCATCGTTTCCTAAAGTGCTTTAGAGTAACAGTGCAGGAAAACCTTTCACTTTGGAAACTTTGCTCTGATTTTTTGTTTAATTTTATATTAAACACAGAAGAACAGCATTTGTGGGGTTTTTTTAAATAGGGGATCTAATTTTAGGGGATTTATTTGATGTTTTTGTGACATAAAAATCAGCTTTTCTGATTTGCTTTGAAGCTCCATTTTTTACATCCCTTCATGTGTTGGTATCGATTTATTATGTGTGTGCCGAGCGTTAACTGCAGCTTCTGAAGTGTTTTCTGCTGCAGTGAAATTACCTTACTACTCAGCAACCGCATTTATGCACTCGACACTTACTCCCCGTAATCTTCTCTAAGTGTTTCTGTGCATTTGATTGCAGATTTATATACGACTGAACAACAACTAGGAGGACTGGGAAGGGAGACATGCAGGTGGATCATGGCTGCCTATTAAGTGATAATTCTACCCTCTTTCTCCTCCTGTGACTCTGCAGGAGAACGCAGTGAACGGAGATCACTTGTGGACAGAGACGAGTTGTTCAGGAGATCTCTGTTATCTTGGGGAGGACGCTTGTCTCCTAAAGACCACAGTGAGTATGGACTGATCACGTCTCCGCGTACGTGCAAACTGGGAAAGAAGAAGCAGGTGGTTTTCCTAGGATTTTATTTCTGCATCTATCTGGTCCTCGAGCTGTTAGCTGTCTTTCTTTCTTCAAAAAAAAAAAAAAATCCATCGTCTCTGAATTATAAATAATTCAGTTCAACTTTGAGACCATCTGAACTGAATACTAATGCTGGGAATACATGAATATTCGATCTATAGAGTTTAAACAAGTCACTCATTTTAATCCTCTGATATTTTTTCACTTTTCATTCTGATTTTATATGAAATGTTTAGTTAGTATTATTGCCAGATTTATCACTTAAAGCTTTTGCTTTTAATGGCCTTTTCAAATCTTGTAGCACAAATAAAAGAGTTTCTAAAGAGTCCGGAAAATTGCTTGATTTAGATGTGAAGAAATATGGACGTTTTCTAACTTTCTTTTTCATCTAACTGAATTAAAGTAGTATTAAGTAATCCATCTTTCTGGTTTGCCTTTTAAAATTTGTCTATTTTATATAATTTATTTCCTTTTAACATTTTGTGGGTTTTTTTATTTGTTGGCTGGAAAAGGGCTTAAATTCTTGTGTTTATTTTAGAAATATTGAGAAATATGCGTTGATATCCTTAAATAAAGAAGCAATGATAAAATTGTTCTTGGATTATTTACTTGCTCTCGTAGATCCAGACTAATTTGACTTTTTTTTTTTTATCAATCTTCAGGATTTATGAATAAATTTGTTTTTAAACAGGGGACTTTTGTTTATTTTAGTTTTTTGCATATTTTCAGTCCAACTCCTGATTATTAACTGTGGAATACTTTATTTTATAGGTGCAAAAAGCCTTAAATTAAATTAATATTTAATGGCACTAGCATATAGGATTTTCACGATGCTAAAAATTCAACCCAACAATATCCAGGAAAATATTTGATATTTAAATCCATTTCAATACCAATCCTAAACAATTAAAGGTATAGTGGAGGATTTTCGCGAATTTTTTAAAAGACGCGCCTGAATAGAGTACAGCTCTGCATCTACAATTATTATTTGAGTAATTTTGGTGTCATAATAAAGGGAACATCTGGGACTTTTGTTCAAGTGTATAAGTATCAGTATTTATGTCATTAGCCCAGAGTAAATTAAGAAGGAACACAAGAAAAAATGACTAATTTCACTTCCGCCTAAAAAAAAGCCAGACTTTTTCAATGAATATCTCTTTAAAATGATGCAGATGGAGGTAAAAATCTATATCCAAGCATTGAACAATGTATGACCATTATCTCTGTAATTTTGCTTTACTTGATAAGGACCAATCTTTGCAGAGGTTTTAGTGCAGACTATTCAGGCGGGCTTTCCAAAATGGCCATCTTGGCACATTTTGGCAACACCTGTTCCATTAGAGGTTTTTGATGTCATTCATGTCATTATTATATATATATATATATTTTTTTTTTATTTTTCCACTGTGTGTCATCTCGTGTTAAATAAGCGTTTTCGGAAAAGCTCTATATGCAGGCTGATATCTCGGCAGTGGATTGGTCGATTTAGATGATTGACATCTCGTTTGAACCGTTAGAGCCAATAGAATGTCGAGGTCATACTGAAATTTGTGTCAGACACAGGATTGGCTAACTATAAGGAAGCAAATGCATCAAATGCAAAACAAACGTTCTTATGTTGGTCCAATAGGAAGTCTCCTAGTAAAAAATGTGAAGTTAGATTGAAGTTGGTAAGAGTTGAAAACGGACGGAGGCATGTTGGACTTATTAAATCCAGCTTTTTTACTTTCAATTACAAGTCTTCACATAAATGCAAAGGTCAGACAGAATTTCTGTTAGTAATTTTAAGTAAGCGGTTGTTTATGTTTGTATTCTTTGGCTGCTGGTTCACTCACGTAATAGTAGTGCTGTTGAAATCGTTTGGATCTTAGCTTTCATATAATATGCTGTTTGTTCGTCTACCATGAAGTATTAGAGAGGTAGCGATGGAAATGTGCAGAGGAGGTGGACGCTCTGACGTTTTTGATATTTATACATCAATATGCTTGGTGTTTGGGTTGTGTTTAGTGTATGTTAAAATGACTTTTATCTGCTTGTAGCACAGTTTCTCCTTTTTAATTTGATGTATGGTATGGCTACATTGGTACATAATTAGTGCAGCATTGTGCCCCAATTGGGGGACCTTGAAGTTCAAATATCAAACTTTTATTTCTATAACCTTTTTTCTGTGGAGAACCATTTGATTGTTTTTCTTTCTAACCCTATTTTTATTTGTAATTTGATATTCAGTGTTATATAAGAAATCAAAGTATTTTCAGTACAAGAAGATGTCACTGCATGGAAAGATTCATTTCTGCACTTCATCATGTGAAGTTTCTTTGACTTAAATCACATAGTCCATAAAATGATTAGACTTTCCAATGCAGGATCATTGTAACCCCAAATGTCTGTTACATTTAAACCAGCTGTGTTTACAGCATAAAACCCTGACAGCAGTGAAACCTTCCTGCTGAGAGGCATTAACAGCAAACATGTTTAAATTACAGGTATAGTGAACCCTGTGTCCATTTACACACCTCTTCCAGAGAATGGCTGCTATTATAACATCGGCCTGAGAAACAACCATCACTTTCACAATAAAATAATGACACATCTGAGCATTACCTGCAGCGAGGCGATTACAGCAGGTTTAGAAGAACACGACTGGACTTCAGACGAGAAGATTGCTCAAACATCCAGGCTCATTTGTGCTAGTTTCTTTGTCAGTAAATTACATATTTTTTTAAACTGAAGTCGGGGTTGATACACTAAAATATGTTCAGTGATTTAAGGTTGGTTTATTTGTTGCCAGTTCTATAACGCTTATTTTAATTATATATAATAATGAATAATATAGTATAGTAAAGCTAATTTTTAACGGGTAGATTACAACTTTTTTTTTTTGCATTTTAAGATTGAAATTAGAAAACGTCTCTCTTATATTTGCCTTTATTGATTTCTAATCAGTGATTTTTATTTTGATCTCAGTCTGAAAGTGAAAGTTTTCTTTAAAAAAAAGAAGAAGAAAGGATGTTTAATCATCCGTCTGGCATTAAGTGGTGCCATTATAAGTGACCCTTCAGCGTGGAGATCAGACTGCACCGTTATTAACTATCATCATCATGTTAGTAGAGATAGTACCCTTACATCATAAGTGTTTGTGCTTCACTAGAAGCACCATGTGATCAATGATTGTTGAACGTATCATCAGTGGTTTTGTGTGTCTCACTCCGCTTTTTGCTCCCTGTGTGTCCTTTAAGAAGTCGGCCCCCAGGAGGAAATGTGCCGCTTGTAAGATCGTTGTTCACACCAGCTGCATAGAGCAGCTAGAAAAGGTACGGCACGCAAACACCAACCCACTAACGCTGCCCATCCTTCACGTCTGACGTTTATTGCTTTAGAATTTAATTCAGTCCACCCTTATTCCCCACAAATTCTGTCGAGCCACTTTCAGGCCCCAGATAAATGCTTTCAGACTCATGAACGCGGCCCGTCTCTCTGTTCAGATTAACTTCAGATGTAAGCCGACCTTCAGGGAAGGAGGATCCCGATGCCTCCGAGATGTGAGTGTTTCTTCTTGTCAGCATGTGTGTGTGGCTGTAAACATGAGGAATCACGGCCCTGCGTGTGATTGTCTGCCGACAGAACGTATTGAGACACCATTGGGTCCACAGGCGGCGGCAGGAGGGCAAATGTAAACAGTGTGGGAAGGTAGGTTCACCACGACGCAGAGATGCTCCTCAAGTCATTGAATAGAGAGAAAAAAAAACTCACTATGAATCTTTGTTCTTTCAGAGTTTTCAGCAGAAGTTCTTCCACAGTAAAGAAATCATCGCCATCAGTTGTTCTTGGTGTAAACAGGCTGTAAGTAACTCATTTATCTTAATAACTAAGTGATTTTGTCAGGGCTTAGAACAGGGAACCCAGTATTCAAATAGGCTGACAGTATGATATTTCAAAAGAGGTTTATTTAAAACAGACGGATCAGCAGTTAGCAGCTAGAGCGTCTAAGGCAGGAACCTCTGGTCTTAAAGTTCAGTCTGTGCCCAGAGGACGAGGTTGATTCTAACTGGTTGACTGTCAGCAAGACGCGGGGAACGCTGCCTAGAGATTCCCAGACGTTGAAGCCCTGATGACTGAAGAACAGCAGGAGATCAGATCCAAGCAGACGAAGGAAGGCAGGATGATCCAGAGGGCGAAGCCAAAGCCGGTATCAAGGAGATTCCAAGAAGAAAATCAGGACCAGAAGATCAGAGATCCAAAGAGGCACCGAATGGAAATCCAGGACAGTGTCAGGAAGCAAGTCAATAGGCAGAATCTAGGAGGAGTCCGAAGACAGGTCGGGTAAACAGATCAGAACAGGGACAGGCAAGCTCAGAGGTCCAATGGCAGATTGGGTCACAATCAGAAAACACTATGACTCACTAGAAGACTCTCACCAAGGGCTGGAATAATCTGGAACTGTGACTGGAAGCAGGCAGGTTAAAAAGAGACTGGGGCAGGTGACACAGAGGAGTGGTAATCAGAAACTGGGCGAAGCTAGGCAGGTGATAATCATAATCATAAACAGATTTCCACTGAAGAAAGGAGCCTTTTTCCTTTACAGTAACCCAACAATAAGATCTATGATGTGTTTAGTCTCACCTTTAATCGAATCTGAACTCGTCTTTCATAATTTTTCCCTAAAATCTCAACAGTTTTCACAATCTGGTCCCATTTACTAATTTGTAAACCCTTAGGTTCTTCCTCTGACGTAGAGAGTTAGTGCATTGCCTCCCCAGGTTTTCATTGCGTTTGTGCAGGTTTGGCCTTTCCTTCCTGATGCCACTGGAGGAGGAAGAGGGGCCCGTCACCACATGTTCTCTACCATATTTAAGATTAGGTTTAATGGGATTTTTCTAAATATGCATCCTTTGTTTCACGCAAACAAACTCTACTCACTCTAACAGCTAATAATTGTTTTTTTTAGTGAGTGGACCCTAATATGTAACATTTGCTTCATTAGTAGGGTTTGGAGATTGTTTTAGTTACTCTTATTGTATGATAGCAAGTTAAACTCCAGGTGTTTTAGCCTCCCTTCCTCTAATTCTGGTTATCAGCATTTTTAGACGGAGCTATTTTTGAGGAAAAACTGACAACCACTTAAATAATATGCAATATTTTCTTTTCCATTTTGAAGAAAAATGCACAACTCATGGATTATTCATCTAAAATTTTTTATTCAGTTTCGCTGCATTTATCATTCAGTGTGAGGATTATTTGTTATGACTCTAAGTGCTTTAATGTTAATGACTCATTTGTTAATGTGCAATCCTTTATTTTAATGGCTTTCAACTAAAGGATCTGAATATATTCTTCTACAATTTTGTTTTCAAGCACATACTTTCTTTTAATTTAACGTCAGCCTTGGATTGAAAGTTAATTTCGCGTCTTTCAAATCATGTTTATCATTGATTTCTTTAGCTTGTAGGTATTTATATATGCCTTAAATGTTTCTAGAGATGAAGAGAGATGCATGATTTCCAAACATGGAAACAGCTGGGTGATTTCTGACATAATGAATCTTTAAAAACCCTAAACGTTTAAAAATGTTGAAAATTAGACACTGGGGGTCTATTAATCCACAGAACGATTAAAGTTTGTCTGTTTTTCTTCCAGTTCCACAATAAGGTGACGTGTTTCATGCTGCACCAGATTGAGGAGCCCTGTTCGCTGGGAGCCCACGCTGGAGTCATCGTGCCTCCCTCCTGGATCATCAAAGTCAGGAAACCACAGGTGTGAAAGCAGAGCTCCAACACCGCCACATTCCTGACTTAACAAAGTTCACCAGCTGTCATCTGGTGATGATAATGCAAAGTGACCTCAGTGGGTCTAAATTTGAGAAGCGGCCTGTCGATGGCTTGTGGAGATGACGTGATGTGATCCGACGTAGGTCGGATCTCCAGGGGAAGTTTATGTCTCTGTTTGAGCTCCCTCCTGCACGCACCAATGCAGGGAAATGTCTCCCGCAGACGAGTCGCCTGCTTCATTGCTCTTCTAATCAGCGTCAGAACGGACGTGTTGACAGTGAACTAACGGCTAAACTCTGACTCTGTGTCCCAGAGCTCCCTGAAGAACTCGGCCAGGAGGAAAAAACGGACGTCTTTCAAACGAAGGGCGAGCAAGAAAGGACTGGATGTGAGTGAGGAGAAGCTCCTGTCCATTCACCGGCTGTTAAATGCACCAGCAGAGAGAGAGGTGGTCTTTATGAAGCCCAATAAAAGTAGTTAAGCTGGTTTTAGAAAAAGAAATCATAACTGATTTTTTTTAGTAAATTTGGAATTTAATAAATTTTATCTGTTTTATACAAATACCATTTTTTATTTTCAGATTTATATTAAATTTCTTTTTACTTGAGGTTGAGACAAACTTATTATTATTATTTTTTTTTTTTTACAGTTTTTAAAGTTAAACTTTTCTTGGATTTAAACTTTGACTTTTTAGAGAGAAGAAAAAACTACTTAAAAATAGTAATAATATAACTACATTGGCACTGTTTTTAGCTCAAGTTATTCTTTCTTTGATAGAAAAAATATATAATTTGTACTTCAAGAAAGTGAGATATTTATTTTCATCTGTTATTTATTAAAATGTTTTATTTTATTTTTAAAGATTATAGATTTATGGTTCTTTTTAATTTCATCATTTTCAATCACTTAGAAGCAGGAAAGGAGTCGTGACATGGGACGATCACTGATGATAAAAACACAGACATACTCTTTTAGTTTTTTATATGCAGATATTTATGATTATCCTTTCCTTGAATTAGATTGAAGATTAGTGGTGACACATACAGTTTTATTAAACTCATGACAAAAAGAAGCTAAATTAAAGTGCCATTATTTATCTAAATGTGCTGCCAGGAGATCTAAGCCACTGATTGAAACAAAAACACACCAGATTGAACCTTTTATCCATAAGATGTGTTTTTCTTAGAACACTCTAGATGACCTTTTATCAACGGAGCACAGCATCCTGAACCTTCAATATATGAATTTATTCATAACTTTGAAGTGTCTGAATTTATGTAAGATATATGTAAAAAATCTGTATTGGAATAATTTTTCGTTCATTTATAAAATGAGAAAAAAATCTTTGTTAATTATTGTTTTAATTCTAGGTTGCCTCCTGAGTCTTAAGAATATTTCTGGGGGAAAAAAATTATGAAAGTATCTTTCTAATGTAATTTTTTGCAAACCATGGCCATATATTTCTTGAAAAATCAGGCCTTATGACGACTCCCCTGCCTGCAAGCTCAAATAACTTCCAGGTAGTAGTCTAGTCAAAAAAAAATACATAGCCTCATGAATATAGTCTATTAACCTAAAGCAACTTGAACTTCACCAAGGCACCTTACAGTAGAACTGCAGTCAGTCCCTGGACTGTCATGGCTATCACTGCCCCTACATAGTTGGGGAAAAATGTAGAGGATGAATGTCTCACTGGGATCAGCTTCATAGTCATGGCAGACCACTTCTTTGATTTTATTTATTTTGCTCAGGCTACTCGTAAGCCCACAGCCTGCCAAATGTTGAAAAGGATATATTATTGCCATTGCTGCTAATATGTAGTAGAAATTTTACATATTCAGTATTAAAATGTCACAGGGGATGGTATGAGGTGATGGTCATTTAAGAAGGGGGATGATTTTTAAGCTTGTTTTAAGAAGGGGGATTCCATGCCCCCTCAACTCGAGTACTGCTTCCAGAAATAAAACAAAAAAGATCCAGCAGGAGGTTTGGTTGAAACTCTTTAGAATCACTTTACCACATGTTTTTAATGTTTTGTACAGAGAAATTCGGAGAGAAGAGGCGTTATTTCCACTTTAAGACCTTAAATAGTTCTGTTTCACTTTTCAAAACCTCTTAGGGATTTTTTGGAGGCTGTGGTTTTCAGTTTAGTTTTTACATCAGAAAACAGACAATTCAAAACTTCAATTTCTACTTTGAAAGAAAAACAGACAGCTAGAAAAAACAATTAAAAAAAAGAATCAACTGGGCACACACATCGTTCAACCAGATATAATAAATCTATACACATATTTTGTTTTCAAACTCCACTGAAGTTTATTTCACACTTCAGGTTGCAACAAAACAAACTACACCATCTTTACAGTGGAACACTTTTGTGTAACTGTATTTTTTTCATAGTTCTATACTGTAGATTAGAAGAGGATTCTTTGTTGTCTGTGTTATTTTCAACATATTTCTTTTTTTTTATTTGTAACAATATTTAACTTTGCTATAATCTATACATTAAAAAAGCCTCTGTGCAAAATGGAGTGAAAACATTTAACAGCTCCCTGAGAGGTTTTTCTTTGTACTTTAATCCTCACATCTTTTCAGTGGCTGTAGTGAGCCTGCTTTTTGCTGTAGATCTTCTCAAATCTGGGTTGCAGTGTCACAACTGTCCATTATGCTCAGTCAAGCAAGCGCTGTTTTTTTTTTCTTCACACATACCGCTTCCCGCGCCCCCCCTGCAATGGCATTGCGCCCCCCCAGGGGGCGCGCCCCACACTTTGGGAACCACTGGATTAATGTAACATTTAAAAAATGTGAAGCTCTTATCCAACGACAGTTTATTTAAAAGTTTCTGTTTAATGAAAAAGTAAAATCTCCCTATCAGGGCCTTGGAGGAGAAAAATGTTCTCATATTGGAAATCCACTTAAGACATAATTTGATCATCAATACACCACTTGAATCAGCCAGTGGAGGTTGTTATAACTTTTAATAATTTGTTTTTGCCTCCAGCTAGTCGTCTAATAACTAATTACAGTTCTGCAAATACATCAGAAGCACCAAACTTTGAGCCATTATTAAGCTATTCAGCCAGAAATCATAAGAACTTTCTTGATTTCTTTCCTAAAGCCAGATGTAGTGGATCTGCATCGTGTCGACTGGGATTTACCTCCTGCTTTCTGACTCGGCTTTAGTTTATTTTTTCACTCTTTAAAAATGTTCTTCTTCTCTGTAGGACTCAAAATGGCGTCCGTTCATCCTGAAACCCCTCCCTTCTCCTCTCATGAAACCCGTCTTGGTTTTTGTAAATCCAAAGAGCGGAGGAAACCAGGTGAGGGAGCCTTTCAAAAAACATTAGGCTCAGTCAAACTGACCTTATTATACTTTCAAGAGTTTATAACCTACTGTAATTAACTAGTAAAATGAGCTGTTAAATATGAGGTCATTTCTGTTTACCAGTTAGGTTTGTCTAAACATAATGTGTTATATTCTGTCCAATGCTCAAAGTTAAACTTAAAAGTAAGTTTAGATATCAGGAACTTAAAAAGAAGAGTCATACATGTATTGATCTACAGGGTGCCAAGCTGTTACAGATGTTCATGTGGATCCTAAACCCCAGGCAGGTGTTCGACCTGTCCCAAGGTGGACTTCGAGAGGCGTGAGTAATCTTGTTTTTTTTCTAGCCCTAACTCTGACCTGCAGAGCTTTTTGTTCTCTGTTCTCAAATTCACAGCCATGTGATCAAGAGACGGTATCTTAAAATGAGAACTCTTTGAGATATTGAAGGTTTTAAAGAGCCTGAAACAATTTAAAGTGAGGAATGTTGAGGTGAAGTGTGAAGGAACAGCTGTTAATCTGCATGTTTAAGGATGGGGGAGAATACTCAAAATAATATGATGACATTGTCGTGATTTTACTAAAGTTCAGACCCAAATGCAGAAGACCAAACAGGGAGACCAGTAGAAAAGGTTTAACAGGTTTTATTGAAGAGATAATGCAGAGAGAAGTGTTGCTCTGAACACCGCTCAACCGGAACTGAAAAGTGAGGGGAAGACACTGCGATTAGTTCAGGCTCAGTGGGAAATTTGAGTCCTGAACTTGGAGAAGAGGATCTGGTTGCCGAGTCACGTTTCCAGAGAAGTTGTTGAATCTTTGACTCCAGTCTGTATGCTGTAGTTCAAGTGTTTGTCTGATGCGGTGGAGGGCGGAACAGGGTTTACCCAGAATGCGGTTGTTAGTTGGGGAACGGAGAAACTGACTGCCACTCAGATTTCCTGCAGTACTTGAACGGGTCGTAGTGGAGATGAATCCCTTTCTCATTGTGAAGCTCAAACGATCTCTTGGGAAAGTGGGTCCAAACCTCCTGTTTGTAACCCTAGCTCAGCTTGAAGCTCTGTTGATCCTTCCAGGGACAGGAAGGTCAGAAAAATCCAGTTTGCAGGATGACTTCCTGCCGAGAGGCAAAAACAAAAACAATGTTAAAACTCAGGTTGACAAGAACTCAGTTTGACTCAGCAAAACTCAGCTTGGCTAGATTATCCAAAACTGGCAAACACTCTGGTGTCGAGGTAGTGGCAGTCAGCAGCTTAAGAACACTCCGTTAACGAGGAAACCATCAGCAGGTGTGTAAGGAGGCGGACGAAGGGAGACAAACACAGAAACACAGACACACAGACAGGAGTCCTAACAGACATGCTGCAGTTAAAAGCTTCATGAAACTTCACACCTGTCATTTATCAGCAGGTGTATTATCATATTTTGCCATTTCATCTTTTGAGTTTTCCTTTTATTAATGTTCTTTCTGGATCCCAGGAGGTTTCCACTTTGGTATTTTTTAAGAAAGGACATAAGTTTTAGAATTGAGTGAGAAAAATAACATAATTTTGACATTTAAAGTGCAAAGAATGTGTGTATTACTTCCATATGTATTTCTCATTTTGATTCTAATTTTAATTCTTAGGTTGGAACTGTATCGCAAAGTGCCAAACCTGAGGATCCTGGCCTGCGGTGGAGACGGCACAGTAAGCCTCTGTTCTGCTCTTCCTCTTTTTCATCAATTCTTGTTTTGTTTTTGTTTTCTTGTTTTTTTTCACCACGTTCCTGGAGCTTTCTTTGCCTCTCCATAGGTGGGATGGATTCTCTCTGCTCTCGATGAGCTGCAGATGAATCCTCAACCTCCGGTCGCTGTGCTTCCTCTGGGAACAGGAAATGACCTCGCCAGAACGCTCAACTGGGGTGGGGTGGGTTTCCATCCTTCACTTCTGTTGGAGAGTCGATGCTAAATTGGTTTATCCTCCAATTATGCGTTTCATTTTTGCACAGCAGGTGAAAATAACCGAGCAGCAACTCAGGAAACGTCTCAAGTCATTTGTCTTTTTTTACCTCATGACCTGATTTCCATAAGCATTGAAAATAAATCAGGGTTTACTTCCTAAACACCTCTGGGAGTTGCAAGGAAACCCACATTCCAGGATGTCTGAGCGCCATTCCGGTGCATTTCAAGCCTTGACCTGTGTTTGACTTCCTCAAAGCTGTTGACACATCAAACAAAGAAGATACAGCTGATATTATACCAGTTTCCTTATAAAACTTTCTGCTCTTTTTTCTTTTTAAATACCCTGAGGTTATTACAGTAAAGCGTAAAATTAAGACGCTTCAGATAAAATAAGGAGATCCATCAAATCAGTAGAGATTTTATTGGAAAGCTGAATTCATTTTCCTCAACATACAGTGATCTTCTTCCACATTTGCTGCATGACTTAGGATGAGCTGCTAGGATCTTTGTGGAGTCCTTCAACAGATTAAAATACCTGAGCTGTTGGTCTTTGCAGCTCCTCCTAAGTGGACTCCAAAAAGACTTAAAATGTAAGATCCTACTAGAAATGTACTAAAAATATCTTACCTAATGCACACCTTTCAAAAAGTAGGTTTGTTTCTAAGCTGGAGGCATTTAATACGTGAATAAGAAGTCGTACCACCGTCTCATTAGACGAATGCATGAATTTTCATACCCAAACCTACTAAATATGTCTTCATATAAATTGATGGATTAAGATTATTCTTCAGCAGTAGAGAGGAGGGTTTACAGTATGTAGCTCATCTGTGCTGTGATATAAAGCCATAACAGTGACAGTTTTATTAATAGCGCGTGAGCAGAGGGTAATTGGTTACGTTTTTTTTAATTACCGAAGAACTCGCCTCAATAAGAGCAAAGCTGTTTGATGAGCTGTTCGTCTGAGCGTGCTCGGTGCTGACGCGGCGAGGACATCCAGATGACTTTGTCAGCTCCGGAGATTTTTCCTATAGTCGGGGAGATTGATGCTTTGTGAGGAGATTAGACTGATAGACAATTCCTAGCTACCATATGTGCAACAGCCCTGTCCTTTTCATCCTCTGCATGTTTCTGTGTGCATCGCTCCTCTTTTTACCCTTTTTCCATTTCCTAACCACTTCTTGCTTAATTTCCTTCATATTTTTTTTCTTTCCATCCCTTTGTTATCTGAGTCATTACTCTTATCTTTATGTTTTCTGCAGCTCAGTGTTTAACTAAAGTTGTCCTTTGCTGGTCTCTGCAGTTAGTCCATCCTTGAAGACATAAATTTTTTTGCAAAGCTATTTTTTGACCCTTAAGGACAATATAGTTTTATCTGAAAACATTAGGATGTATAAAGTTACACCTTTATTGTAAAGTTCTACATCTATACAAAAATAATTTTGTCGCATCTTATATCTCTCCTATAAACAGGTATTTTATAAAATGACAACTATTGTATTTTAATTTGCTGTTAAACTGAGTTGGGGAATAAAAATAGCAGCTGAAATAGATATGATTTTAGTATGTGAGATTAGCTTTTTATAAGTTATTGTTAAAATATACTATTTATAAATATAATAAAGTTCCTATTCTTCAATATCAGATCATGGAACATTTGCTGTGTTCCAAGTGCTACAGGATAATTATCGGATGTTTGTAAAGCTTTCCTTTCTAGAGTGATTGGAAAACCTGTATCTAGTATTAAATGTCAACAAATGAAATATTGTTAATGGGAAAGTTTATTGAGAGTGTGCATTATGGTTGGGGCTGCAGAAATTACATATCAGGCTATTTGAAATGCTGCATTTGGTTTCTGATGCTTCCAACTAACACCTTTTAGATGCCAGAAGAAATTCTGCCTGTTTTAATAAATTCTCACAGCAGTGGATGCCCACAATTCGGACAGATAATATGGCTGAGAAACTTTAGGTCAGAGAGAGATCTGGATGCACTGAAGAAGCACAGGAGTCAGGAAATGTCAGTTGAATCGTGACTGATATCATTATGATGGTGTCTTTCTATTAGATGTTATGAGATGATTATTTGGTGTCATCCAGCTTTTGAGTTATCGAAAGGAATCTGTTTCATTGTAATTGTAGGGCTGCCTGGCTAGTTGTAGTGGTGGTTCTTGGAGGAAACCAGTAAAGATTACGTGTTAAAGCTTCTGAATCTGTGACGCTGTTGGGATTTTTCTGTGTTTGAAACCTTGAAAAATGTGTTAGAAATACCAGAGTTCATGTTTTTGTTTCTGCAGTATAATGATCCAAAACCTAAAGACAAACAGAGATGGTTCCCTTGTTGCAAAACCAACCTTCTTCCACTGCTGAAGTTTTAGGCTTGAGGGTTATTTTCTTTACTAAGGGTGTCCCTATAAATGGAGGTACATGGTTTATCCATAAGGGAAGTATGAATGTGCAGCTATTTAATGCATAAAAATTACTTTTTATTAAATGTTTTAATTAAAATCTAGATATCTCCCCCTAAGAAAGCTATTTGGATAAAAATTTAATAACAGAACATACTCTTTAATTTTTAAAGCACTCAAAGATCAAGAAAGTTTCTGTAAAACGAGAACGCTCCTGATTTCTCCCTGTTGGCCTGTTTCTGTTCGTCTTTGGTGCAGGGTTACACAGATGAACCCGTGTCGAAGGTGTTGTGTCATGTGGAGGACGGCTCAGTGGTGCAGCTCGATAGGTGGAACCTGCTGGTGGAGAAAACATCCGTCCAGCCTGAAGAAGGCACCCAGAAGGTGAGGACTGTATTCATTTAAATGAACCCACCAGAGATCATTTAAAACAATCAGATACTAACCTTATGTCAGATAATACCCACTGGAATTTTCTAATAAACCTTTTCTGGTATATTATAGAAAATAATTTCTTAGCTGCAAATCTTTGCATTGGACACAAAGAGACATGAATCTTTTCCGTCCTTGCAGCTTCCTCTGAATGTTTTCAACAACTACTTCAGCCTGGGCTTCGACGCTCACGTCACCCTGGAGTTCCACGAGTCCAGAGGTCTGTCCCCACGTTCTCTTCTCAGCCCAGAGAACCTCTGTTAGCGGCACCTCTGCCATTTTTGATACACCTCAGCGATTATATTGGAAACCTGCACATGTTTGCGTTCACGTAAAATGCCTCTTCGTTTGCTGCGCTCATTTAAAGCACTTTGTTTTCGTCTAGAGGCCAACCCGGAGAAGTTCAACAGTCGCTTCCGCAACAAGATGTTCTATGCCGGCGTAAGTGTCCTACATGCCTGTTCACATCACTTTAGATGCTCATACCTTACAAAAAAAACAGCCTTGGATTCCAGAATTCACATTTGTTTTCTTTACGGTGTAATTCTGCCTTAATGAATCTGCAGGAGAAGCAGGAAGTTAAACCCACTGATAAAACAAAACATCAGTTTATTCTTATAAGGGTTCTTTCATCTTTCCTCGTGTGATATTCGTTCAGTATGCTCTCTAAACAAAAAAGCCAAGTCCATTTATCTGACAGTCATTCTGTGGGGAAACTATAAAAACCTTATGACAGGTTTTAAGGGAGACCTTTTGCTCTTAAAAAGTGAGAAACAGATCCAGAATTATCCTCTAGTTGCTTTTTTTTCTGAGAAATCAGCTGAAAGTCAGAGAGGATGGGCGGGAGTGGAAAAGGAAACATACAGAGGAGTTATCTCTTTTTAATGAGGGAAATGTAATGAACTGTAATTCTGTTTGATTGGGTTCTTCTTTCTGTTTATCTGCCTGTGTGTTTGTGTTTGTGTGTGTCTTCAGGCTGCGTTCTCAGATTTCCTCCAGAGAAGCTCCAGGGACTTGTCCAAGCACGTCAGAGTGGTGGTGAGTGTTAACACGCTCTTCCTCTCTCCGCCTGTATCGTCTTCCATGTCGACATGTCTGGCTCGGGTGATTAAACGGGCTGTCCTTCAACTTTTCTTTGACGTTGGCCGTGCGGTTTGTCCCATTAAATCCTCAGTCGCCGTTTCCAGTTGAAATAAATCTCTGGGGGCTAAAAAAACACGTTTTAACTGAATGTTTGGTCCATTGAGACTAATGAGAAAGCACATCGCCATTGACCCATCCATTTGGCTGCTTCGATAAATTAAACAGTGTGGTTTCCATGTTATGGAGCCCATCAAGCAGACGACTGAATTCATTAAAATTTCAGTCCAGATCAGCTCGTTTTATTCCATCCTCCGAGCCTGGTTGATGCTGAACAGGTAGAGTTTTCAGGAGATCAAATGTGTGATGGACTGAGCAGTAAGGATAACAAGGCACGGGATTGAGTCCAAATCATAGGGCTCTTTAATTTAACCCAAAAAATAGGTAAAAGTGATAAAACTACTCAGAAAAACTAGCGACTTAATAATACTACTTCAGCGATAGTTTCAAGGTGTTGCTTTATTGTATGTCTCGTACCATGTCTTTCGGTTGGGCTGTTCTTTTTTCATCTCGTTGCAGGTGATGAATAGCCTGACGTAGTCCGACTCAATTCTAGCCAGAATATGAGTCTGATACTGCTCCATAGAGCTGTGATTATGGGGCGTGTTTCGAACGAACCAGGAAAAAAAATGCCTCTGCACTCAATTGGATAGACCTACAACCAATAAGAGCAACGGAGTGCGTGACGTATGTTAAGCGAGGCATAGTTGTTGTCCACAAAAATCAAAGCGTGCAATTGCACGCCTATAATAAGAAGATGAGACTTGATGGCGTTTCTCTGTTCCTCTTTTAAAATTAATTTGCTGTCGATATCTTCTAGAACAGACCTAATAGCAGAATCTACTCACCTAAACTCTCCAGCGGCAGCCATTATTGTTGTCACCCAAGCGCACATTGGTCACGTGGTTGATTACGTGACTGTTGGTCATCTGTCCATCATCGTATAAAGCCCGCCCTGACAATTTGATTGGATCGCCTGACAGTGGGCGATAATACTCGCGCTATTATGGAGCAGAGCCAGACCGAACTTCCCCGACCTCAAACTTTGTGGGTGGGACTAAGTTCGGAATGGCACCCAGGCTAGGTGATGAAGCAGACTGAAAATGTTTTGTCATTGTCTCCTTTCTATCTCCTCTTTCTTTCATCTTTTCTCTTTTTTTTTCTATTTCCTTTTTCTTCTTCTGTTTTTCTGCTCTATTTACATTTGCAGTGTCCATATAAACTGTAAAACTCGTTGCATAATTATAATAAAGCAATTTATATGCATGAAACAAATGGAGCAATATGGCAATAGCCATACTGCTCCACTTGTGAAAGTAAAATCTATTGGGCTCTTTTTGGCATCAAGACAATAATTCTTATTGCCACATTGCCAGACAGGTCACTGTTAAAAAAAACAAAACAAAAAAAAAACTAGCAAAGAAAACAAAACATTACACTAAAATATGGCTGGTCAGACCACTAATCTCAATTTATTAACAGGATCTCTGCTAGTACACGTTGCTGTGAAGTCACCAGAGATGGGAAGTAACGAAGTACAAATACTTCGTTACTGTACTCAAGTAGATTTTTCTGATATTTTTACTTTACTTTACTACTTATTTTTATGGCGACTTTTTACTTCTACTCCTTACATTTTTACACAAATATCTGTACTTTCTACTCCTTACATTTTAAAAAATTGTCTCGTTACTTTAGTTTTGAATCATTTCAATGGAGTTACCGTTATTATTTTTCACGTCACTGTGAAAACGGAGCCGTTTTCCCCCTCTGTTCCCAAAGTGTAGCCGCTGTCTATCACGCACAGCGTCACATCCTTCACTACATTTCCCAGCATGCACCACAAACCGGCTATCATGGCGGCGGCAGTTCCAAACAATTCACCAGGTAATTTACACTAGTTCCAAAATTACAACGTCACCTTTCATTCAACACTTTACTTACTCACCAGCGTAGCAAACTCTGAAGGTACCCACTGCGACAGCTTTAATATACATTCCGTAGTCGGTAATAAAACTTCCCAGTCAAATTACACATTCTCTTCCCTTAGTCCGTCAGCATACTGGTCCGTGTGGAAACACGTACCGCATCGGAGCCAGTCTCTTATCCATTGTCCCAGTGCATTGAAAAAGACTATTAGGGGGCAGGGGTGTTAAGTGGGATTTCAATGAATGTAATAATTGTTTGCATGGTAATAAGTAGGTGAAATGGTAATGTTAGCATGGTTAAATTATTTCATTAATATGTATGTTTTTGTATGAATGATGCTATTGTCTGTATTTATTTTTCTACAATGTTTTTTTTTTTTTTGATGAACTTTATTTAAACAAGGTGGGTAGAAACAAGTTAGGCAATAAGAACATTAGAATTCTAATTCTATAGAAGGCATAGTAGAGGCAGATTTCAGAATGAAAATACAAAGTAACTTTGATGAGGAAAATAAAAAATGCGTGAGTAATGCTAATAATACAATAAAATAACATAAAGACAAGGGGATTCATATGTTAGGATTAATGTACATCAGTGGGCAGTTTTCATTAGTATTTCAGTCAGGTATTTGTGAGATTCGATACATTCAAGAGATGTCAAATATAAATTAAATTCAGATAAAAAAATACTAAAGATAGGGGAGGATCTCAAGACTCTCTGTTTATGAATAAAGAATTTTGCTAAACAAAAAATTAGGTTACAACAGAGTTCTATTGTTTTGTCTTTCAATAGTATTCCAAAAACTACCATATCTCTAGAAATAGAATTAGGGAGTGCAATTTTTGATTTGATCCATCTTTCTAAACAATTCCAAAATGTTTTAGTCTGACTGCATTCATAGAAGAAATGGTCTATAGTTTCTACATCACTTTCACAGAATGAGCATTTATTGTCATCAATATTAAAACGGATTCTTAGTAGTTCTTTTGATGGGTAGATGGCAGTTTCTTTAGCTTTTGGTTGTATAGGAAGTTAAAAAAAAAGTTCTTGGTATTTCAATAGATTTTTGTTCAAATTTGCAAAGAAATTTATTTTTATTTATTTTCCCAGGGAACAAAGTTTCATTTAGACAGTTTCTAATTGTGTGGTTATTGAATTTTTGATCAGTGGTTGATATTCCATTAATAGATAAATCGGGTAGTTTGGGGGTAATTGGATGATATATTATTATATTTTGAATCTGATTAATAAATTGTTCTGGCAAGGCGTTAAGTAATCTTGTAAATTCATCTTTTGGAGGAAGGAACTGATATTTTGTACAGAATTGTTCGTAATTTAATATGTAACCATTAGTGTCCATTAAGTGTATAATAGACCAAATATTCTTCTCCATCCAATCTTTGTAGAATAATGACTTATTGCGATGTAGAATAAATCTATTATTCCATATGATAGAGGAGTGTGGCGAGTAGTTATGAACATATATCATTTTCCATTTTTTCTACAATGTTAACTGTGCTTTATAGGGGATTTCCCTTCCTGTTTAGTTGGGCTGTCCCAATTGGCTGATTATTGGTGGGTCTATTTAAGGGGCACACTCCCAATGGCTTAGGGGTCTGCTTGGAGAGACTGGTTGGAGAAACTGCTCTTGAAGGTCTGCTTAGAGAGACTATATATAAAGTCAGCTTGCTGTGAGGCTGTCAGTGTTTTGTATTGCCTGCAATGGCCGGTTTTGTTTTCTTTATTTGAAAGTATTTTGTTTGTTTTGTTTTTTTTTGTCTTCACCGTTGCACCAGTAAATAAACCGCTACACGCTTTTGAACTGGAATTTTGTTGTCCGCTGGTTCTGACCACCTTTTTGCAAGTCATCTGCTTACTCCTCCTCTGACGTGAGACGGGAGCTGGTGAGCCGTTTTCTCACAAATACCAAATTCAGTCTAATTGGATGGGAATCTACGTTGCATTTGACTCACCACTACAAGATGAATCGACAGATTCGGCGGTATTCATTGCCGGCAAATCATTGCAGCTTGGTGGCGGGTGGCGTTAGCATAGTAGCATGGACGACGAGATGATTGAAAATGAACACAACGGAGATCTAGTCCTATTGGCAGACATCCATTTAAAATGTAGGCAACGGCATGAAAAAAGTGGTTTCTACTTTTACTTTTATACTTTAAGTACATTTACAAGCCTGTACTTTGTTACTTTTACTTGAGTAAAGAAGTTTAATCAGTACTTCCACTTTTACCAGAGTATTTTTTAACACAAGTATCTGTACTTTTACTCAAGTACGGAAAGTGAGTACTTTTGCCATCTCTGGAAGTCACCATTTCTATTGTAGTTACATTACATTGCAGGCGTTTTTATGCCACAACTCAGTGAAAGTGGGGAGTACCAAGATGGCGGCAGGTGACTTAAAATTCTTTCCGATATCAGCAATAAATAGAGATAAGTGGATCAGGCCACAAAAGAAAAACAAAACACACAAAAAACCTTAACCCCCGTCATCCATAATTTTGATGCTGTATGGTCAAAATAAGCTCAGCCCATTAGCCCACCTGATGATTCATTAGCCAAAGGATTGGAGCAATTGCAAAAATAAAATAAAAAACAATGTAAACCAACATTTTAGAATATAATATAATTTCCAAATAATAAAGTGGCTCTGTAAATAATTGAAAACAAACTGAATGATGTGTATAGTGTTACTAAACCTGTATGGCAGCAAATGCAGCCATCACAAGATGCATGATGTCAAACCAATGTTCAGAGAATTTAGGGTGAAGCTATTGGGCATGGTGGAGGTGCCTCCATGTCCTTTAATGTCTTATTAAAGGTTTGTTAGGATTATTTTCAGCCATTGATGCTTCAGTTTAGACGAAAGAGTGAAAAAATAGCTCAAAATGGCCGCAGCAGCAAACAAGTGTAGGAGTACTTCTTCGTACTTCGGGGTTATGGTGGACCACTAGCCAAACAGTGAATGAGTTACGCTTGTAGCCCACATAAATAACATCATGACAGCACTTACGCAAAATGTTTGATTGACAACCAAGTAGCCAATCCACTTTCAACAGTAGCCAAGTGGATTGGTTAATAAGTGCAAGAATGCCATCTATCAATTAATTAATTTTAGATGAATCTGGAGACTTAATCCTGAGTGTTTCAGGATTCAAAGCAGATCGACATCAGCACTTTCTGTTTTGTCTAAGGGTGACGGATCAGGCTGGTTGTGTAAAACTTATCCCTCTCAGGCTCAAATTAAGTTGTAGTTGCAGGAAAAATCAGATATTTGGAGAAAATGATCATATGGGGTAGTAATATACAATTCAGATTTTTTTTTTGAGAGAGACCTTCACATGCAATGAATTCTGGGATGTTGCAGATTTGCAGCAGTTGTAAATTAACACTGAAGATTGAATCTGATATTAACGTAAACTTTATTTGAATGTCACAAACAAGAAATTACTAAAACAAAATTTGAAAAAAAAACTTTTTCTCCACCAACATCTGAAAACCTCTTGAGAAGGCCGTTTCTGTTAAACTGTTGCTCAAAATATAGGCAAACTAGTAGATAAAGCATGTAGCATCCATTTGTACCTGTTTGGGCACATGTTGCGAATCCACAACATTGAAATCGAGATGGCTCTGGTGAAAAACCCAGAGGAGATAAAATCTACTAATTGGCATGTGTCATATCTATACACATTCATTATTCATCTTATGTAATATTGATTTCAAAATAATGGAAATTGGTAGTGATACTTACATGAAATTGGTGCTTAGAAAATCTGTTTCAGTGACACCAAGGACTCAGCCATGTTGAAAGTGAGTCAGCAGTGCTATCTGGTGAGCTGGAGAGAAACTGTTTTTTGCAAATGCACAACTAAGTCCTTCTGTTGAACTTCTGAGTAACAAAAGCTCTTAAAATATGCATGTGGAGTAATTAGCTAAGTAGGATTTAGCCTGTTGCAAATCTGCAACATCTGCCTGGAGAGGGTTAAAAGTAAACCTTACACACAAAAAAAATATATATATTGGTGGTGGCTTAAGCATACTGTGGGCTGTTCAGATGGAACTTTCAAGACATTCTTCGGCTGTAACAACACAGCTGAACTACAGTGACATGTTTAATGATGAAAATAAATCTCAGCTCCCAATGGGAACCAATCCTGGTTTTTAAAAGCTTGGAACAAAAGCAAAATAACTCTCAAATAAATCTTTACAGCCCATTAATTGGAATCGCCTTCTGACTGCAGCTGTATTTAACATCTTATTTTAACTGCTGTCAATGCATCCCTTCAGACCTAAAGGGAGTAAAAGCTGCAGCTTAGAAATCTGTGCTGGAACAAATGCCATAACAGTATAATTATCTCTCACGGTGAGTTGAATTAGAAATATTTTAGTGCAGCAATTACTCTCTGGTGTTTAGGAACCCCTGCTGCACAGATCTTTGTGTGATCTGACAGGAGGAACCGGGAGCCGAGCTTGATGTTTAAGCAGCCTGTCAAAGTAAATGGCAGGTCCAGAAATGTAAAACAAACTCTGCTTCTGACTTAACATCACTCAGCTCTACAGCGTGGACTCTTGCTCTCTGTTTTCTACAGTGTGACGGAACGGACCTGACCCCAAAGATCCAGGAGCTGAAGTTTCAGTGCATCGTGTTCTTAAACATTCCCAGGTAGGTCAGGAACAAATACAATAAACAATGTTTATGATTTAAAATTTTCTGTCGCGCATGGCTTTAGAATTTACATCCACGCCCAAATGTAGCTGACATTATGTTTTTGTTTTGGATTATTACCACACAGGATCTCACTGTTACATATTAATGATGGCGAAAAACAAATAAAACACAAAGAAATTCAATAATATGTGATTATTAAAAAATAAAAGATTGCTTCATTCTACTTCTGTAGTATTGGTTAAAAACAATTTTTTTGTAAAATAAAAGTTGAATTATATGATCATTTAAATAAACAAAATCAACTAATCAGCAGCTAATAAATAAAATAATGGGCCAGGAATCAAAAATAAATCCATAACTGCTGCAACAAGGGATTATAAAGTAAATAAATGAATAAATACTTTACTTTATTTTGTATACTAACATTTCAGAAATATACTTTTTATTATTTTTGTATTGTTTTGCATTTTTTTATTTATTTATTAGAACATTAAACTAATAAATACATGTGTTTTTATTTAACGTTTGTATTATATAAATCTTATCATTTGATGTTTAGGCTGTTCTTATGTGTTGAATACAGATTTTAATGCAGCTTTAACAGAAAATCATTTGTTTTTAGTAAATTGCTTTTAGTTTTGTTATCTAATGTATTTATCTGTAGTTTAAATTATAAAGCTTTAAGAAATGTTTAGTTAATATATGAACCTTTTGTTGATGGGAACCGTTGACCTGGACGCATCGTGAAATAATGGCATATTAAAAAATGTTTCTTGTTTTTTTAAGCAGAGAAACATATTTATTAATAACATATACACCAAAAGTTCAAGACTTATTCATTTCTTTCCCTATTTTTCATTAGAGAAATTCAATTCAGTTTATTTAAGTGGCACCAATTTACAACACATGTCATCTCAAGGCACTTTACCGAAAAAAATACTGTCAGAATGGTTAGAAAAACCAGTTGATTGCATCGACTCACTGATTCGTCAGCAGTGCCTCACACCAAGCATGCTTTTAGCGACAGTGGAGAGGAAAAACTCCCTTTTAACAGGAAGAACCCTCCAGCAGAACCAGGCTCAGTGTGAGCGGCCATCTGCTGATGCCGACTGGTGTTCAAGGAGACAGAAGCAGATATAGAAAAAGAAGCATAGATACAAAAGGTAGCTGTCAACCAGCTACACAGGCGGCCCCGTCCAGGAAACACACAGCCAGGCAGACGAGCTCCAAGCCAGAGATTACATGGTTAAAACTTTCTAAATTCGTTTTTCTCCACTTGATTGCAGAGACCTCTTTAAACAAAATGATGAAGCACTTTAAATCACGATGAAGTGGGCTCTGCTAATTGGGTTCAGAGCTTTGACTTCTTCTGCTATTGTTGGAGAGGATTCTTGTTCTCAGAAGAAGGCAGATGGGCGTCCACTCTGACGGCTTTATTACTGAGGATACATGAAGTACCTTCTGATAGGCTGGTAAAACATCTGCTCCGGTTTGATGGTTTTAAATGTCGGGGGTTGCAGGTACTGTGCTGGCACCATGCCGTGGGGAAACACCGGTGACCATCGAGACTTTGAACCACAGCGCCATGATGACGGCTGCATTGAGGTTATCGGATTTACGATGGCGTCACTGGTGAGGAAAACAGAGACAGAGCTGCATATTTAAAACAGCTGATTGAGATAAACATTTGATTTTTATTGAGCCATCAGCATGCGGATTAAACCTTTTTTTCATCGACTAGGCGGCGCTACAGGTTGGCGGTCATGGTGAGCGGCTTCACCAGTGCAGAGAAGTCATCCTCACCACCTACAAGACTGTCCCTGTTCAGGTAAAACCAGCAGACAGCCTCTGAATAAGGGATGGATGAGGGTACATCTGATGTCTGAGGTGGACTAATAGGTGTCACCATTGTCATGAAGATACTTTGCTTCATCTGAGATACAGTCTGTTTATCAAAGGATTGAAGAACAAAGTCTGTTAAGTTTGGTGATCTTAGGAGCAGCAGTGGATGCTTACGTTTTCCAAGAATACTGTGCTTTATGACAATATGAATTAAATGATAAACTGGAAATCTGCTGCTGACATCTAATCTTTTCAGATAATCTATAACAGATGAGGTCTGTTGAAGTTTTTAAACATTTAGAGTCCATGAGGTTTTATTTATTTGACCATTAGCCTCAGAAGTCTCATATGTGGCTCCTTTTCTTAAAGGAAGAGGAGCCACATGTGTTTTTTCAGGACGGTTTTTCTAAAACACACCTATGTATGTAAATTTATTGCATAACGAATCTCCATTTACTTTTTTTTTTATATAATTGTAACACAAACCTATTTAACAAATGTTGCATAATTATTAATTGAATATAGCTTATTTATTTAAAGTTAGATTTATGTATTCGGAATTATTAAACTATCCATACTCAAAATTAATACTAATTAGTGTATTGATTTCAAATACATAACGTTTATTTAAATGACTTAATATTTACAGTTACGTTTATGAAATTTAATCAATAAACTTTGTGTTTTATTATCACAGAATACATAAACCTGATTATTAAGTATTTCAAATGAATAAGTTGCTCTATTATGCAAATAAATTAAGCTGTATTATGCAAATAAATATGGATTATGTAAAGTTTATCTGATAGGTTTGTGTTAAAATCATCTAAAAGAAAAGTAAACAGGAATTATGTCATAAATGTACATAAATCTCAAACATTGGGTGATATATATCTGTCAGTGCACAGACTGCTCCAGATTCACACAGAAAATTGTGTTAGCATTCAGAATGAACACTTTTGTAGCTTCTATTCCTCCTTCTCGCTCCTTTCTTCACTCTATTTAGCTGAAAACTATTGTCAACAACACCCCACTGTTGTCTTTGAGCTGCAACATTTATTTATTTATTTACCTATTTAATCAGGACAGAGCACATTAATGAACAATCTTATACTTCTGTACAGATTGTAAATAAGCCAGATTATAGCATAGTTGCTAATTTACATCTGTCGTCCTGAGTCAGGAAGACAAAACAATACAAGATCACATAATACAATATCCGTCAAAAAACACATAGACACACGTTCAGACAATGACATTACAAGAATAAAATTAGTGAGTGCATGACTGGGAACCTTTAAGAAACTGGGAAGTTGCTTTTTAAATGTGCAGTAAGTGGGACATTCCCTGATGTTTGTTGGGAGGCTGTTCCAGAAGTGACCCCCTCTGACTGATAGAACGGTTTGTCCAAAGGTTGTTTGAAACATCTCAGGCATTAAAATATACTGTAAAAATCAGAAGTAGTTAGAGTCCAACCAGCTGCACAAATGTGATGCTGGCGGGAAGTTACTTTATATGCAATATTTGAGCAGAAAAATAAGATCTTAATTGCAATATTACCCTCTGATATTATGGCGACGATTGTAATTCATATAATTCGATTCAATTCAATTTATTTATATAGCGCCAAATTCACAACACGTCATCTCAAGGCACTTTACAGTTCAACCAGATCATACAGTCAGATTGATTCAAAGTTTTCTATCTAAGGAAAACCAGTTGATTGCATCGACTCATTTACTCAAATACAATTCCTCACACTAAGCATGCTAGTAGCGACAGTGGAGAGGAAAAACTCCCCTTTAACTGGAAGAAACTTCCAGCAGAACCAGGCACAGTGTGAGCGGCCATCTGCTGAGGCCGACTGTTGGTTCAAGGAGACAGAATCAGAGATACAAAAAGCAGCTGTAAAGGCGGCCCTGTCCAGGAAACACACAGCCAGGCAAACAAGCTCTGAGCCAGCTCCCATGCCAGAGGATGAAGAGAGCACATCCAGCCAGTCAGGGTCAGAGAAACAGGACCACACAAGAAAACAGCCCCATCTCCAGCATCTATAAACAAGGGTGTTGATGGAAGCAGCACAGCTGATGTTTCTCTCCAGGATGGAGTCACAGCCAAACAGGAACAGACGAGGCAAAGCTACTCTGAGGAAAAGCAGAGAGAGCAGAACGTTAGAGATTGAACTAACAGATTCTGCAGAATAGGAGAATAGAGATAGAATGAATCAGAATGATGAAATAGGGGTCCCTATGTCCTCCAAAAGTCTAAACCTATAGCAGCGTAACTATAGAGATAGCTGAGATACTGTGCGTCTCTAATTTAAATATTATGGAGGATTTTAAAGCAGAAGAACTTGAAGGCAAACTAATATTGTTTCTGCGTTCTCTGTCTGTCTCTCTTTTCTTCCCTCTGTGTCTGCAGGTTGACGGTGAGCCGTGCAGACTGGCTCCATCCACTCTGCGCATCTCTCTGCGAAACCAGGCCAACATGGTCCAGAAGAGCAAGAGACGCACCTCTGTGCCCCTACTCAACGAGTGAGTCACTCACTCACTCACACACACACAGATACAGATGGATGAACTAGTCCAGCCCTGTGAGTCACTCAATCTGTTTAGTGAGCTGACATTGACTCCTCTCAACGTCTCTCTTCAGATCTCCAGATTTGTCCTCAATCAAAGGGACATGAGCTTTAATAAATGAGATCTTCACATGTCTGGTGTTTTCTTTTACGGCTGAGGAGACATTTGTTGGTTTATTTCCAGGATGAAGGGCTGTGTTTAACACCCTCGTCCCTTTAGCAGCTCTGTCTCTATTTAGTTTATAAATGTGAGTCTATTCTCTGCTTTTTAAAAGTCTGTATGTGCTAGAAACAACAACGCAGACTAGCTTCTTGTAGTATTTAGTGCTATGGAACTGTGCTATCAATGTTTGTCGACTTACCTTTTGGGATTTTTTTCCATCTTTCCCTCCTCCGTTCCATCCTTCTCTTTTTTTCTCCATCCTTCCAACACACTTAACCACTTTTTTTCTTTTCCTTTTCCCTTTGTCTTCTCTCTTCACCGCCATTCGTCTGTCCTTTCTCCCGCGTTTGTGGTGTTTGTGTGCGTGTGTGCGGCCGTAGTATTCAGAAGGTGTGTGCAGCTGATCTGCGCCGCCTCTCTGCTCCCCCCGACTCCTTCTCTGTGTAAGTACCTCTAACCCCTGTTCTGTCGCTGGACGCTCCTGTGTCTCTGTGCACGTCGGAGCAAATGAAACGATGGCGTCATGTTTTATCTGTCAGGTTTGATCTATATTTGAAATCACCTCAGCCTTTTCAGCTGTACTATTTTGTGCAAGTCTTAAATCACCCAAAACGTCACACTGTGTTTTGCTAGTTAAATGTTTTTGGTTTTTTTTTATAAATTGTACTGATGTTAAAGGAATAGTACACCCAAAACATGATTAGCCTTCATTTTCTACTCACCCCCATGCTGAACAACACTCTGGAGTACTTTTTTGATATCTCAAATGCATCTGGAGATCTGGGAGGCTTCTTGCTGTCTGCTGACATTCAAATAATGGAGGTCTATGGTGCCCGAGGCAGAAAGGTCCATAAAAGTCCACAAAAAACGTGTCAATAATCCTCCATACTGCTCGTCCAATGTATTCCAAGTGTCCTGAGTGGGTAGCATCCAGAATTTACTGGAAACGAAGTCATTTAGAATGTTTTTAGAGCATAAACAGTAGCGTATAGGATTTCCTAAAAGCGTGTTCACGAGTCTACGGAAACCGCGGCAGACCAAACTAGACGAAAGTGCGCATTCAGCTCGGCAAAGAACTCATGCTCTTCCTCAACACTGAAGTCCTCAGACATTTTTCTTTCGTTGTTTCTTTCTTTGCACAGGTAAACAGCACATTTCTTCTTCTACGCTTGCATTATCGGCAGAGCAGACGCTGAATGCGCACTTTCATCTGGTTTGGTCTGCCGCGGTTTCCGTAGACTCGTGAACGCGCTTTTAGGAAATCCACTACTGTTTATGCTCTAAAAACATTCTAAATGACAATAAAATAGAAAATTAAGGCTAATCATGTTTTGGGTGTACTATTCCTTTAAGATGCAGAACAAAAACAAAATTCAAGTTTCTGAAATTAGGATTAACTTTCACCTGCAATCGAATCTTGAACAAGGGGACTAAATTAGGACTAGGACTATAATCTCTTCTAAACACTGATGATTTTATTTTTTGAGTCTGAACAGCAAAACCAAGGAACAGATTTCTATTAAAAGCTGATTAGGAGCATTTATTTTAGGAAATAAACTGTTTTAAAAGAGCCACAAATCGTTTTTTTTTAACCTAAGTCACCTCAAATAATGCAGCTTGGTGGAAAAAAAAAAGCAGAACTTTTTCAGTCATTTAAAGAAAACCTTAAAGTAGAAGATCGACTGAACCCCTGTGTGTTTTCTGAATTATATTTCATATTCCTCAGACCAAACAGCCCACAGTCAAGTGAAATATCTCCATTTCACCTTTTCGATTTTATGCATTCTCAACACAACCTGGGAAATCTCAGGCTCCATTGTTTTCTCGATGCAAAAACGCAGCAGATTCTGGGTGATTGGTCTGTTTTGGATTCATTAAAAGAGACTTAAGCTGTTTAGTCATCAGGATAAAAAAAGATTCAGGATAAAAAAAAAATGTAGCAATGATGCACTAGGCCAAACTTAACACAGAAATACTGAAACTATAGAATATGATATTACTCACGTGTTTTTATATAAAATAATCTGTTTTCCAAATATAAGAAAACTTGAAAACCTTATATAAATCCACTAAAAATATATATTTTTTGCAATGATTCCAATTCATAAAAAATGCTGCTTGTGTTTTTATGTATTTGCCCAAAACTTGTAAGAATAACCCTTAATAAAAAGCTGACTAATGAGGTTCCAAAAATGTCTACCTTTTCCCTGTTCTCATCTTATATACATTTAAACTGCATTTTTATTTGTCTTATTAAAGGATTTTATTTCTCTTTCTAAAAGGATCAAAATGTTTTAAGACTAAAGAAATCTTTTGTAATAAAAAGGGAAACATTTAGCTTTAGAGTTCCTAAAAACTCTGATATTTAAATCAGGAGCAACAAAATCACAAGTAAGTCTGATAGGAAGGTTTGCATTGGAAAAATGATCTAGAAATAAGTACAAATTATTAAAATAGGTGTATTTACTCTTAATTTGAGAAGGTAAATAAGGTAGTTTGCCAATGGAATGAGCATTTTTACTCTTAAAATAAGATAATTAGATAAAATGCACTTGAAATAAGACAATGCAATTGTGTTTTCATGTTTTAAGGGTAAATTGTCTTGTTCCATTGGCAAAATGTCTCGTTTTACCTCCTTAATCCAAGAACAAATGCACTTATTTTAAGAAAAAAATTACTTATCTAGATTTCGATTTTTTCCAGTGTGCACATTTTAAAAGAAAGGCTATTTCTTGTTTCAAATATTGGTCATTCTCTGCTGTGCTGTGTTGCCTGTAAGTGTTTGTTGTGTCCAGTTACTGTGGTTTATGTGAGGAGGTGTATGGCGCATGCTGACGTCTTCTCAGTCTGCTTCTGCCTCATGTCTCGGTCTTTTTCTGCTGTCGTCCCTTAAACTTTACTGTGAGCTCTGCTTTTGTTATATCTCCCCTAAATGTGATGTCTGTGCCCTATCCTTACAAAAATCCTTTATAATCAGAGAGAAACAAAGGTCGGGTTATTTTCTTCTTTTTAAAGGTAAGCTGAGGTGCTGTGGTTAGTTCGGGATGTTTTTGTTTTCATTCCTGCATCTTTTGAAGCATCTGGCTCTGTTTTACCTAAAAAAGTTTTGGGCTACTCAGATTAATGCTGCAGAAGAACACCAGAGCTCAGATCTGGTTTTGTTTGCAAAAGGCTTAATGGCCTTCAGTTTGTAAGTGAGTGTTTAGTTAAAACATTTTAAGGCCCTGAATAAGAGTAAAACCAAACAGCAGGAATTAAATGTTGCATAATGTGTCGCTGAAGTTCAGATTTAGTCGTGAAACGTGGGTCTACAAGTGTCTGTGCGTGCATGTGTGCATATATACAAACCAGAGTTTTCAAACCCCTGGAATTTATGTTACAACCACCAACTTCATAGTGTTTTATTGGAATTTTAGGAACACAAAGTAGATGCGAAGAGGAAGGGAGATAATCCATGATTTTCAATGTTTTTTTACAAGAAATAATCTGAAAAATGTGGCGTGCATTTTTCTTCCTATTCATCCAAAAGGTCACAGTCCACTAATACGGGCTGTTGAGTCCGTTGTTTTCCTCTGAAGACCAGGAAGCACAGTACAGAGCTCAGAGAGAGATAGGAAGACATCTAAAGCAGGATTTAGCCTCAAAGCTTTGAACGCCTCTCAGAACGCTGTTTAAAACATCCCTGAAAGGAACGTTCTGTAGAAGACATATTGAAGGCAGCAATCAGATCAAATTTGCACAAAATTCTAAAGTTTCACCCTCCTGAAAAGCACGCTGTTACAGCAGGGATCCAACAAACTGGATTTCTAAAATAAGCAAAGGATTTAGACCATTGAATTATCCTTTTTTTTACTTGGTTGCATCAAATCTTTGCTATTTGTTCATCTTATTTGTCGTATTTGGTTTAGAGACACTAAAGAATAATAATTCAAGCTTCACAAACTACAATTATTAGAGATTTTTTTAACCTCTAGACCCTTTTTTTCAGGTTTAACAGGACCAAAGGTTTCTTACCGGGGTTCTACTTCAGTTTATGAAAAATAATTTATTTCTTAGATATTAAAATTTAGAAATAACTTTTTAAAATCTGCTTAGATAGTCAAAGTATGTTTATCCAGATAACAAAAAATCTTGCAGCAGAATTTGAGGCTATCTTTGTTTCATAAGCTGCACAAAACCTCATTATGCTACTGCATGAATAGCTTGTTCATAAATGTCCAAGATGAGATTGAAGCTGACAAACAATCCAGGAGTCTGCAAATGTCTGAAATACTAAAAAGAAACCAAGTAATAGAAAAGTAACCGTGCAAACTACGAACCATAAACGTGTCTGATGATGTAAAACATTTGAGTGGGGAAAAAAATGCAAAAGAAAAAAATATCCAGAGAATAAATACTTTATTACTGCACTTTGTGTTCAACACAATTAAGATTTTATTATATTTTAATTTCAATAATAGATGTGAAAGAAAATGAAACGATTTTCTCTTCTTCACAAACTGAATCAATTAGTTGAAGTTTTTGGTTGCAACGTAACAAAATCAGAAAATGTTCTGGGGGTGTGAACACTTTTGTAAGAGACTTTGTCCTTACCTGTGTGTGCTGGAGCATGTCTGATCCGTGGGCGTGCACGTACATGCACTGGCCTGTTCTTCCCTTGCAGTCCTCACGCGGTTCCAGATCGTTTGCGTCTCCGAGTCAATCGGATCAGCCTGCAGGAATACGACCGGCTGCAGTACGACAAGGAGCGGCTGCGAGACATCTGTAAGGCTCTCTGTTTCCTGATTATTAGGATGCCAATATAACTTTATAAAAACCTTTTGCCATTAAGAGAAAATATGTATTTACTCAATATATGTGTGTCTCCCAGCTATCCCAGTTGGCATTGTGGTTGTTAGGGGCGACTGTGACCTGGAGACCTGCAGACTTTACATCGACAGATTGCAAGAGGCAAGTTTTTATCTTTGTCATCACCATCTGCACATCGCCGCTCTGATTTCTCTCTTCTGTCACTTGCTCTTCATTCTTATTGCATGATCCTGGTTATTTATAACCGGGTTGGTGATCTCAGAGCCGCTTATTAAGCTGTTTGTTTCATTTGGCAAAAGCTTCTTTGACTTTAACGTGTGCAAGTTTGTCTTTTTCCTCCCATCCAATTTCTTCGGCTGCTTGTTAACCTTCAAACCTGTCTGCTGTGCCTGATAGGATTTACACCAGGCGCCATCTACTGGCCACAGAGTGCACTACCAGGTACATGACTTGGAAAGGGACAGGATTAGGGAACGTTTTTAGCAGATTTGGACTTTGGTCACAGATTTATTTGGACTAAAGGCTGAAATGACTGTGATTTGGATAATGTACATCCATAACGAGGGATTAGATCTTGGTGCCTGAGATGCTGCACTGTAGATGAATACAGAGTTTCTGATCCGTCTGAAAAAGATTAGATTAATTATTTTTACAGATCTGGATAAGTATGGACAAAGAAAACCAGAGTCTGTATTTACAGATTTTATTCCCTGTTCTATCGTCTAAATAATGTGACCTTTCATCCTTTTCGTTTTATTGTCTCATTAATTCATTCCTTTCTTCCTTATGTCCCTCCATCTGCTCTCACCTTCTTCCTTGTTTTGTTCCCTTTTAGTGCTGCCTTCCTCCCTTACATGTACCCTTTCCCCTAATGTCTCCTTTCCATCATTGGGGCCTTTGTTGTGATCTATGTTTGTTTCTTTTTTGGCTTCCTTGTTCCCTTCCTTCCTTCCTTCCTTCTTTTTTTTTTTCTTCCAACTTCTTGTGTTTAATATATTTCAAAATAAAGGTGAAGAAATGGTTGAACTTTAAAGCTGAGACTGAGAATATTTTGCATTTTTTACATGACAAATCTGTGAATCCAGTATAAATCAGTGTGTGTGAATGGGTGAATGACTAAAAGTAGTGTAAACCACTTTGATTAAGTCTTCCGGCTTGAAACAGCGCTATATAAGTACAGGCCATTTACCATAAAGTTTTGCTGTTTAAGTCCTTAATAATATTTTTAAAAAAATATTTCAGTTTACTAATATTTTTTTCTTTAACCTGCAGGATGAAAACAGAAGTGTCTCATTAACAGGTTCAACCAGTAGACTGTCTCCTAACTGGAGCTTCCTGGATTGTGAGTTTCTCCACTAATTTACTTGAAACATTAAAAAATCTAGTTATGGAACAATGGAGTAGCATATGGAAAATAATCTAATCTCAAAAGTGAAGCATAGCAGAGGACATCTAATGCGATGGACCTGTTTTGAATTGAATCACTAACTCTGGAATTTTAAATGTAATCCTTGTTTTTTTCAGGTATAAATTAAACGTAACACATGTTCGCCCTAATCACTGGCTCTGTTCGAAAACCTGGGCTGCATCCTCCAAGGACGCGGTCTACCTAGACTGGATCCTTCGAAGTCCTTGAAAATAAGGAGACCGGAAGAGTTTTGGCTGTAAATTCGACCAGGTCCACCCTTCGGCGGGTTTTACCGCCGTATGCTCTGTTGCTTAGCAACCGTGAACGTTGACACACAAAGCAGGAAAAGAATGAATACAGAAGTTTTCAAAACTGTTTATTTATTTCTTTTTTATTATGAAGTGAACAAAGACTACACTCACAAGAATCCAGAGTGGAATAAAGGTTCCAACCACCAGGAGCATGAACTAATAAAATCAAATGTAATGATAGAAACCTTAGTCAATTAAATAACATGCTGCTGTCATTTTGCACATCTCTGATGCTGCTGCTATTTTCTAATATCCATTACTGTAAAAATGTCCATAGCTGCATATTGGTTATTTATTCCCCAGTTTTATATTGTTAAAACACTTTACAGTATTTTATTGTTTATATTTTAACTCTTCCCTATTATGTTATTCTTAGACATTTTTCTAAGGTCCACATTTGTGTGACCATTTTCAATAATCTTTCTGCTGCTGTAAATTTTTCCATTGTGGGAAAATAAAGGGATTTTCTATTCTATTCTATAAAAGGGGTAGAAATATATAAGTAAATCTAAACAATATATTTATAAAAAATATATCTGCAAAATCTCTAATATTCAACAACAAAAAATACGAAGTTAAGCATATTGTGCAAAACAGCAATAAAAAGATAAAAATCCTATCAGATTTATAGTCCCCACCCTGCAAATATATTAGAATCTGTCCTTAAATTACAGCCAAACCCATTTACACAGTAACAGATAAAAACCTTTAGATAAACCAAACATTACCGCCACATATCTGACTCTATAACCATTAAAACAACAACAATTTTTCATTAATCTCAGACGGAACTATTCACTGACTTGTATTATATTAAACTGAACTTCCAATTTTCACCACTGTTCGGCACCAAGTAACCTTTACTCTGATCACGGCTTGCTTGGTCTCGCAATGAATCCTGGGATATCCAAGAATACCGAGGATACATCGGACCCATCCTTCAAATCGGGCAAAAAGAAGGACGCATTTTAAGGCCGCATAACAAGGACTCTTGGAATCCGACCAGACCTCGGCGCCGCGCTATGACGTAATCGGTCTTCAAATCCGGTCTTCTAAGGATGCGTCCTAGGTTTTCGAACAGAGCCAGCATATAGTGTTTACGTAATTTTTTTATCAGTGTCCAAACATCTAGTGGATTAAAAAGAAGTGGACATGAAATTTCCCACAATGCACCTTGAAAAGTAGTGATCATCCATGGTCCTTCGACCAGCAGATATATACCGGAATGCTTTGCACAGAAAGCTCTCTGCGCAAAGCATTATGGGATTTGTTGTCACAGCCACGAAATTTAACAAAGATGGCGCAGGGATGTGGAATCACGTGACCAACGGGGAGCTTAAAGTAGTGCTCTTCTGTCCGTATGGTCAGTTAACTGAGTTCACTATATAGTCCCTGCTATATATGGCAGATTGAGGGATTTAGGGGTTAGGGCGGGCGATCGGACACAGCCCATGTTTCAAAATGTATTAATTTTGCTGCAGCACTAAATCGTTATCATTAGAGACGACTTTAATTGTGGATTATGCTATAAATAATAAGTTAAAACCTACTTTATGTGGGTCTATAATTTACAGAAAGAAAAGAAACTAGACCTATAAGTGAAATCTAGTTTTATTCATTTAGGTTTTAATTATATCTTTATCCATATCTTCTCATTTCAGCGACATCAGCTGACCGCTTCTATCGAATAGACAAGGCTCAGGTAAATGAGGACAGTCAGACTTCACTAAGCCTGATGCATCCAGCTTCAGTTTTCTTATATCTCATTTTGTTTTCTGCAGGAGCATCTTCACTTTGTGACAGAAATATGTCAGGATGAGGTCTTCATCCTGGACCACGAGGGTCCGTTAGTGAGCCAGGGGTCATCAGCTGGGATGCCTGATCTGGTGGTGGAGCCTGCTACTGGGTAAGGATGGAAGTTTTACAATGGCAAGAAGATAAGAAACAATATGAATCTCACCCAATGGAAGATTTTAGTAGACTTATGATTTCAAAGCAGGGTTTTCATAATTAAGCTGTAAACAAGAACTCTGTGTGGTGTTTTAATGCATGATTCAGTAATTAAAACCTGAACAACAGTTTTGCAGAAGGAGGGGTGTAAAAATAGGTGCATTTACCCATATACACCACTAGATGTCACTAGATGACCAATTGATGTTGGTACTCTGAATAATCCAAGAACAGTGTAGAGAAGAGCACCACGAAAGTCCCTCAAATTTGTAATTTATTTAATGAAGTGCTATTAGATCCACTTTTTTAGGCTTAGGTGTCTGATCCACTCATAGGTTTAGCCCTGAGGGGAAAGCGTAAACCAAAGATATTACTGTAGATTTAGCTATTAAATTAAGTCCACAGACCGCAGGAACCATTGTGACTTCTTTTTTGGTGTGTTTAACAAACTTTACAAAGTGTATTGGCAAAAATACAGACGATCAGGTCAAAATATATAACACTGTTTAAACATCTCTACATCAGTCGGGGTTGTTAATGTAAAAAAGCTTGAAATTAGAGTAGAAATGAAAACTTGCCTTATGTTTTGAAGTAAAAAAATAATAAAAAAAGATTGAAACACTTGTCCAAATTAACCAACTTCTGGTGTTATGGTATTTACTGTAAAAGTTGCATCATCTTGTGGATCTCAATAGGGATGTTTTTATGGTGTAGCAGTCTAAGTCTGCATCTGCGACACCGGAGATCCGTTTTGAATACATTTTACATTTGAGCTCCTAGATCTGGAAATAATATCTAAACTTTTCCATAATTTTTAGATCGTGATGAGTTTAAATAAAAACGTAAAATAAGGATGCATCGATTGCAGGTTTCTGGGTGATTACCGATTAAAAACCCTTACATGTTGATTCTGATTTTGATTTTATCAATTGCGATTAGATCACAAGAACAACAATATTTAAATCTTCATCACACCTGAAACAATACAAACCTCTCAAATAACTGCTTATAAATATAAATCCAGGTTTATAGCAATGACAGTGAGGGATTTTCAGATCTTTGCAGAAGTTGATAAGATCAGGATCACATCTAAATATCGACTTCCAACATTAAGGATATGCATGTCGATCAACCGGCCAGCTGATCTATCCTTGCACCCCCAGTTTTCAGACTCAATCAGTCCATTCATCCGTGTGACAGTTTAAAGCCCAACTACTGCAGAAATGTCCCCAATAGGTTCAGGGTTACTTTCTGTGTTATGCTTGAAAAAAAGAAAAGAATATCTGAGAAATATACTAGATATTTGTTTTATTTTTCAGGAATCTTAATATTAAATGTTTTTTCTATGTGTTATGGTTATTATAAATGGTTATAGTTTGTTATTATAGACACAAACATGTGGTGCCCTGTATTCCACGCTTTATTCTTTAGAAGGATAATTTTGTGTTCTCAGTTAGAGCTCAATCATTGTTGGGCCATCAAAATAATCCTCTAATGAAGCCCCAGGATCCAAAGCTCCATCTTGCTCCGGAGTTTTTCTTTCTGATCTTTAAATTATTCTTAAGTCTGTCCTCATTTTAAAGCCAGTTTATTAACATGGTGCCAACATCCCACCTCTTTTTGGCATCAGGTTGATTTGGACATTTGCTGAGTGTCTCCCTTCATGGTTTCTCTGAGCATGCCACATTAGATAGAGACCTGTAATGATCTCAGGAAGTTGGACCCAGGATTCGAGGCGAGACAGGCAGTGGGAAAGTTCAAAGCGTGAGAGAATACAGGTCAGTGACTGGATGTGGAGCTGAATACGAATTGGAGCCAAGTCACTGACCTGATTCAAAGTTCAGTCCGTTCGCGGAGAACACAGTTGAATCCAGGAGGGAGGTGAGACCGCAGTTGCGACGGGCGACGCCCCCAGAGTTCCTAGAGAGCGAGCAGAGCGGACGCCTGCCGACGCCAGGTAGTAACCGAGTCCAGAAGGGAAATCCAAGGCCGAAGTCAGAAGACAGTTATAGGTTCAGAAGCCGGTAGAATCCAGGATCAGATGCGACAAACAGAGCAGACAGGGGCAAGGCAAAACTTGAGATCCTCAGGGCAGAAACTGGTCAAGATGAGGAAAAAAGAACAGACTAAAGATTGCTAGGAAATGTCTCACAAAAACACTGGAATAACCTGGCGCTGATGGGAGGCAAACACACAACCTATATAGTAGAGAAACCAGGTGGAAATGATCGCCGATAATCAGAACCAATTAGACAGGGAAGCAAGGAGCAAAGGGGAAAACCAAAACATCACGGCCAAGATCATAACAGAAACCCTGAATTTGCTGGAGTGTCAAATAGGATTAAACACATGGTTGTCATGGTGATGGAATAACAACCACTCTGGAATGATCGTCTCTTCCTGCTTGGCAAAGTGTCATAAAACTGTCTTTTTCCTCTCTCTCTCTCTTCACAGAGCTCCCCTGACATCTGAAGAACAAGGTAACCAATCAGAGATTCATCTGATTTAAACGGGTTGAATCCAGTTCAGAATAGCATAGAGAAAAGTTTTGTTGAAATGCTTTAGCTTCTGATGAGTAAAGAGCATTTCGTTGGAAAGTCCTGGTTTAGACTATGATAGCATAAGTTACACAGCAGCCAGCATAGCTTCATAGTTTAATACATCAGTGCGTAATGTAAGGAGTCACAATCTGGGTTATTGATGCTGGGAAAAACACAATCACTACCTTTCAAGAAAAGGAGAAGAAAAACACAATATATAACTTTATCATCTAAATAAGGGTAACAGGTTACATATCTACGGAAGAGGATTAGGGCCACTGAAGAAAAAAAAGTTAACTGATTTTTACATTTTATTTCAGTTTAATATGGGAAAAAAGTCAGAATTCTGAAATTTTTCTCAGAATTCTGACTTTAATCTCTGAATTCTGGCTTTTTTCTCAGAATTCTCACTTTTTTCTCAGAATTCTGACTTTTTTCTCCGACTTCTCACTTTTTTCTCTGAATTCTCACTTTTTTCTCAGAATTCTGACTTTTTTCTCCGAATTCTCACTTTTTTCTCCGATTTCGGACTTTTTTCTCAGAATTCTCACTTTTTTCTCAGAATTCTCACTTATTTCTCAGAATTCTCACTTTTTTCTCAGAATTCTCACTTTAATTTTAGAATTCTCACTTTTTTCTCAGAATTCTCACTTTTTTCTCAGGATTCTCACTTTAATCTTAGAATTCTGACTTTTTTCCATAGCCATGTCTGTTTTAGAGACTAGCTCTCTTGTTTTAATGACCTTCTGCTTTAACCATAGCCATGTCTGTTTTAGAGACTAGCTCTCTTGTTTTAATGACCTTCTTGTTTTAATGACCTTCTGCTCCTCTATTAATGAGGGGACCCCTCGGGCACATAAAAAGTTGCCTAATTCCGTCATTTTCACCAATGTGTCACTGGCCCTCTCAAACAACTCACATCTATGTCAGTGAAGCTGAGTGCTCCCACATCTCTTCCTTCATGGTGCCCATCTACATTAAGATTCAAAATTTGACTTTTCTCCCATGTTAAACTGAAATAAAATTTAAAAATCAGTTAACTTTTTTTTTTCCAGTAGCCATAATCCTCTTCCATACATATCTGTGTATAAAAAATAGGATTTTAAAAAATGCACCCAAATGTAGTAAACAGATTTATCACAAGCTAAAGTTGAACTTTATTTATTTTTCATCAACTCATCATATGCAGATGACTGATAGCCTGCAGCCGTAATCATGATTCAACTAATGGAACAGAATGATTTAAGGTTCTGGAACGATCATGATGACTATACCTCAAACCAGCATCCAAGCATTGCCTTTTTATAATAAAAAATATCTAATTCTGCACCTATTCTACCTGTGGCACTGTGGAAGTACCTGGGTAAAGTCCTCTGACATGTCTGGGCTTGTCAGGATTTAAAAGAGGAAAATAATGGGGCAAAGTTGAAATGTTTACAGTCAGGAATTCCCTGAACAATTTAGCCTTCCAAACAACGCCGCTAACCTTCTTTTTCTGTCACTTTCAGTTTCACTTCATAAAGATTGTTGAGTATATTTGCACAAAAATAGTCGGTCCCTTTACCATCCGAGGGGTAACTTGAATTTTATTATACAATTACCAGCATGCAAAGGATGTGATTGTGTAACATCTGTAAAACAAGGCCAGTTTGTTATGTTCCTCTTCTAGAAAAACATGCTTATCAGTGCAAGAAGCAAACAATGGGAGGTTGATTTATAAGATTGGAAGACAAAAGGGTTAGATCTGTTAGAACTTTTTAAACCAGGAGGAAGACAAGCCTAAAGATGTCTAGAGCGTCTTTAGATTCTGCCAGATTCTTTGTTTGGACATGCAAATGTTTTTTTCTATGTGTAGTGATATCCCTGTATGTGTTTTGTTGCAGCTCTTCTCACTGCTGCCTCTACTGGGGATCTTTTACTGGTATGTTGGGGGAAAAAAGCAACACTGATGTCAATAGATTTACAGGAAATCTAACCAGTTTAGCCTGTTTGTGTATTCCATTTTGATATTTATCTCTTCGCTGAATAAGTTAAACTACCAGTGCGAATCATCTCCTAATTACAGTCAGCTGACTCATTTCGTTGGTTTTCGGGTGTTTCTGGCTTAGTAATTCGCAGTTCTATTCACCTTCTCATAACACAAAAATTCTCAGCCAGTTAACAATAGATGACATCCAAAGAGCGGATGATGCCCAGACCATTGAAATTTTAAGCGGGGGATGCTATCCAGACACATAAGTTCCTAAATGTTAGGGTGCCACTGTTTTTTTGAGAGCTGTAGTATCATTGGAGCGACAATAGGAGGAGAGGAACTGTGCTAGCGTGGCGTGTAAATGGGGAAATTGAGTCAATCATTTAAATGTCCTTATTTAGTCATTAAAACCAAGTCTGACTGCCTCATTGTTCTGAATAATAGATTTTATTCATGACATAAACTTTTTTATAACTTTATAATCTAAAGTGGACTATGAATTATTGTTTTATAGAAATAGAGGCCATGGATGCAGAAATCAAGACAACTTTAGTCTCTAAATGTAAATGATTTATAGAAATGAGCAGTTCTCTACAGCTCTGGGGTCTTATTTATAAAACATTTCATAAGATCATACTAAAATCCCGATTTATGAAATGCAGCACATGACAACAAACAATTTTCCTTTATAGAAGACAGCTGTACCCCAAGAGTTTGCTTCATGTTCAGTCCTCCACACTTACATATTCAACCATAAGTGGAGCAAGCAAAGCACCATGCCGTTGGTTTCAATTACCCTTCAGAGTCGGGGTGTAAATCACATCCATTATAGCGATTCGATTCAGTATCGATTTCCTGACCCAATGATTTGCTTATTTTCGATACCCAAGAATACAACACGATACGATTCGATTAATTATTGTTTTTTTTACTTACAGGCTAGACAATTTTTTCTAATTCTAAATAAATCAATGAAAGCTCTATTAATGTTTTGAATTTTATTTGAGAAAATACAGCAAACAAAAGAAGTAGCAAAGTCGTACTTCACCTAGACCACTGAAACTCATGGACTGAAAAATAATAATGCCCCTGTTTTATAGATTCTGAAAGCATCAAAAAATACTGCAACGCATAAGTGCAACAGCAGATTAAGTAACAAAAATAGGCCTATACTACACCGCAGCACGGGTGTCAGAGTTACATCATAAATGGATAAAAATAGATTGGAGGAAAAAATAACATGAGTCGATACTCTTGCTGACGTGTCGATGCATCGGATCGTCGGCTGTTGGATCGATGCATCGATACAAAACGATTATTATTTACACCCCTACTTCAGTCTGATTGGGACTAATAAGATTATTAACAAGTGGATTTGGGAAGATAGTTAAAAAAAAGTCTTTATAATGTTAAAAAATTCCAGGGGAATTAGCTCTATAAGCAGTTTCTCAGGGACCCCACAGTGGTAAACAGCTTAAAAAAAAAAAAAGAGGCTAAAATCTGGGAAAGAAGCACACATAGCGATTTATTATGGGTCATTATTCTGCTTCATTATCTTACTATATTTACATGCTTCCTAATCTTTCATCATTTTGGATATTTAATAAACAGATTAAATCACAAAGCGTCATCCATTTTCTTCCATATCAACCATGATGTCTACCTATAATTCATAAACATATTTTATATTGTGTATCTTCTGATTGTTCACTATTTACTATTGCTAGAGTTTGGTTGTGAAATCTGAAATATTTATCAGAGAAAATATCACAAGTCACTAAAAACCTGTTGTGGTTTTTCTTTTCCCAGCTGACTGATAGCGTACGTCGAGGAGTCAGTTTGTTAGTAAGAGACTCTAGAGGTTGCTCCGCGCTGCATCTTGCAGCCCAGAAGGGCCACAGAGATCTGGTCAGCTTCATACTGCAACAAGGTGAGCAACTGGACAGTATGCTAAAACACGGGATTAGCATGTAGCTGTAACAGGAAGGACACCTGATAATGTGTTACAAGCTCTGCTCTCAGTACTCACCATTTTCCTGTTGATTTCTGACCATCCTATGAAAAGCCAGCCGCCACACGTATCAGATCTGCAGCATGTTTGCTAATGAACTACTGAATGTTTATTTGGATGGATATTTGGAAACATTCAAAAAAAATAGTGAAATAAAGTTAAGTATTGATGATGTAGAATTAGAATTAGTTGATGAAATAAAATTTTGAGGTGTCATTTTAGATGATAAAATTAGTTGGATGAGACATATACAGCACGTCCGGTCACAGCTGCCCAGATGTTTGGTTATAAATAAAGCCCGGCACCTTCTAACCAAACAAGCTTTACACACATCATACTGCTCATTGTTTCAGCCCTATCTAACCTATTGTGTTGAAGTATGGGGTCACACTAACAAAACAAACATTCAACCATTGATTATTATGCAAAAGAAAGCAATACGAGTAACGAATAACAAACACTATAGAGATCACACTCACTGTTTATTCCTTGATTCAAGAATTCTCAAATTTGCAGATTTGATCAATTTCAGAGCTGCTAAAATACTTTATAAAGAAAGAAATAACTTACTTCCTTGTTTTCTGATAGAGATGGAAAATATGATCTTAAATTTCAAAACTAAGTATGGTCGAACAACAAGAAGAAGCTTTAGTTTATCAATTAGCGGAGTGAAACTCTGGAACAGCTTGCCTGAAAACATTAAACAATGTAAAAGCATCCAGCAATTCAAAAAAGAATATAAAAAAAGTATTTTTGATGAATACAAAAAAGAGTAATATATAAAAATTTGGTATACTGTTTGTTTTACTGTAAATAATTGTCCTTTACCACCATGACTCACGTAACTGAGGGGTAGGGCCTAATAAGCTTATGCTTCATCCTACTCCTTTTTGAAACATGATGCATGTTTATGAAGTATTCAATGTAAACATTGTTGAATCAGATCATGTTTCAAAATAAATGAAATGAAAATAAAATGAAAAAAATGTCTCTGCATCTCCACCATTAGTTTCAACTTTACTGTGAAAGAGGGGACATCATCAGTATTTTTACTAGCTTATCAGCAGCAAGAGAGAGGAAGCAGGTGAATGGGTTTTTCATATACGTTCAGCGTACTGCCGATTGTTTAAATACTAATCAGTCCCAGCACTGCTTATGAGTCACTTTGCGCTTTCTTCACTTTCTCTTCCCTCCTAATTATAGCTATAGTGTCAAAGTCTGTCTTTAAGATTAAAGATTATGTCAAATACATGTTTTTAGCCTAAAAATTTCAACTTCCTGAGTCTTTTGTTTGGTCATTGGGATGTGCAATTTGGAGGAGTGTGTGCACTTAGCAATTTTGCTAAGTTGTTACTGGAATAGATGATGTTTGAGGGTCTGTTTCGAACATAAATGACCAGTAAGGATTAAAGTGATGAGATGGAATCAATTGTTTTATATGCACATAGAAAAAGTGAAGAGTTCCAGTAGAATAAGTTAATTAAAACGTACAATTATAAACCTCTTGTTGTGAGTTCAATAAGAAAACAGATTCAGATTTGGACTTTATTAAAGTTTTTTGTTCCTGTTCTTTGTTTCTCACTCCTCAGGGTCAAAAGTTCTCCTGGATTTAACAGACAGAGACAAGTAGGTTGGAGAATTTGTATTTATTTTACATTTATATCTTAAAGGCTTGAAAAGTAGACGGCGTGTTATAGTGTTTTTAGAGCCAAAGTTTGCTTAATCTTTGTTCAGATTTTAAATCCTACATGCTGCTTATGTTCACTTCCTTTTAGTTTCACATCACTGAGGTTTTCATATTACTGTCATCAGCCTTCAGTAAGCCTTCCTGTGTCTGCAGGGGGGAAACCGCCTTGCACAAAGCAGCCTCAGAGAAGCAGCATGCAGTGTGTCGGATGTTGGTGGAGGCAGGTGCATCGCTGGAGAAGACAAACTTCCAGGTAACCAGCAGATCATGCTGTCAACAAACAAGAGGCAGGGGAAGTTTTCTGTCAAAGGAAAATTATTTCCTGAGAAATTGTTACTTTCAGTTTCACATTAAAAGCACTTCCTTCACTTTAATAAAAAAACATCTCTTTATATCATGTGCAAAAGGTCACTCTGTAGTATGTTAAACCCATCGATCTCCTTTCGAACACCCTCCTTTTGTTTCCAGTTAAAAGTGCTGACGTTAAATGCAAACTCTGTGGTTGAAGCAGCTTTGAGTAAGGGATGAGGAAGAGGAATGACTCTTCTTCCTTACAGGAAAGGCTTTTTAACTTTCCTTATCAATAAAATCGCCCACAAAACCACCAGACTAAACAAAGAAGTTTTACCTAAATATGAATTGTAATTTGCAAGATATTTCCTGCTGTCTTTGGATCCATGTTCTGGATCAAGCTTCACCCCTCTTCATCCATACTCCACAGCTGGTATTAAAAGTTTTTCCTCCTATGCCATGCTTCGTTTTCTCCTAACCCAGCTTTTTTACTTTGTCTCATTTGTCAATCAAATCTTAGTATACTGCCATAACTTCTATTGGCAAAATAAACTTTCTCCTTCAGGCTTCCTGAGAATTCCACCTTTCTTTTATTAGTTTCATGACTTAAACTAAAACATAACATGATAACTGAGGCATATCAACTCAGGGGCTCTTTGGAAATTCCTCTTCCAACGAACCTCCGATTTTACAGTCTGACAAATCCACCCCTCAGGCAGTTTGAAATGTTTTCCTCTTGCTGATAATTGGGGACTTCAAGTTATCTGGAGGCGATCGCATACCTCCAACCGCCATGTATAGAAAACTTAATATATACTCACACAGTGTTGTAATACGTGTATCAGTTTTTCCTTTGCTAGAGGGTATTCATCTGTAGTTTATAACAATAACTTTCAAAAGCTAATTTTATTGAGTTTGCTTTTGATACATTTAATGTAGAAGAATATTTGGATATGCCTTGTGCAATTTCAGTCAGGTGGCTTAAAATCTTGAGTCGGAATGCCATAAATTCATGAAATTAAGTTGATATTTGAGAACTCAAAATGTTATAAGTAATAAATTATAGAAAAGCCACAATGGCTAATTGAGGGTGTGGAGCTGATGTGCCTGAGCAAAAAATCAGTAGGACATTCTCCCAGAAGCTTTGTGACTTTGCAACATGTCGTAAGGCAAATTCCAGTCATTTTCTCTTTCCTTCAGTTTTTATAATTACTTTTCAACGGTGTCCTTCTTGGTCGTCTCCCATTAAGTCCTCTTTGGCTCCAACAACAGATGCTGCGATGTGACACTGATTTTCCCTGAGCTGGAAATTCAGCTTTAATCTCTTTAGCAGTTTTTCTTGGCTCTTTCATGGTCGACTCCCTTAAGTGTCACTTGAAATACAATGTATTTAGGATACATTTTGATCTGTATGCTAAAAGTAGTTAATAAAGTGAGATTTTTTTGGACTTTAATTAACCTTCAGTGTTATTCATTCCCTTCAGGGGAAGACGGCAGTAGACCAAGCAGCCGGAGACTCTGAGCTCGTAACCTTCCTCATCTCCAAACGGCAGACTGCAACTGGCACCAATGAGGACTTAGAGACTGCTGTCTGAGGCATAAACACGCTCATTTGCTCGAGCTTCGGACTCTGGACTCTGCACAGCCCTCCAGCCTGAGAGTAGCTGAGGGAAGTATCAAACCCGTGCTGGATTTAGGTCTGCGGCGCAGAGACGGACCAGGAAAGGCACTCCCCCTGTACGCAGCGCCGCTGCAGCAGAGATTTTCATGCTCAACTATTTATTTATATTTATTTATTCTATTTATTGGTTGTACTGGTTGGCTGACTTTTAACAATTGCAATTTGTCTTGTAATGGAGTAGTTTTGGTCATATTTTACAACTATATTAAGTCTGGAAGATGGTCAGAGTTGAGATCAAAGCAGTATATTTATCCCATAAAAACCTGTGTGCCAAAGACGTTACACTGCTGTGGTGTCATATCTACTCCAAATATACCACCGGCTCAGGCGTCCTGCGTTGATTTTCATAGGTGTTTAGTTATTAAACCTTCAGTCACATGTCTCTGCTGTGTTTATCATCTGAGTCACCAGTGAGCTGATGTGTCAAAGCTCATTTTATAAGGAAACAAGAACACACCGAACAGGTTTCCTCCTCTTCTCCTAACCAAGGCATTTCCTGGAAACCATCTCGTTCAGAGAGGATATGTGCATTGGTTGAAATGGCTTTAGACAATGAGTCTTATGTTGGACTTCCCAAGCTTAGACAAGAGTCACAACAGCTGTCTGTAAAAACCTCCAAATTAACTATAGGGTTCCTTTTTGAAATGATATCAAAGCTTAATTGTTGTGTAAAAGAGTTAAAGGACATCTTTTCTGAATCATCAAAACAAACATGAATGTAGCTCACCTGTAACAAAGATGCTAGCTTTTTTCCCCCCCTATTAGTCACTTCCCATCCTGTCTGTACAGTCAGTCTGGTCTGAAGTGGAGCCAAACTTCGTAAACATCAGTATCTAAAGAAACAGTTTTATTTTGAACACAATAAGCTGAGCTCTACTATACGGAAAAACCTGCAATTACTATTACCTACAATTAGAAAGCCTTGACATAAACTACTCTGTTGTTGCGGCAGCTGAAGCTTGACTGGGAAAAAGTAGATTTAGTTTCTGATTGGAAGATCCCACATTAAGAAAACTGCTGGCAACATTATTAAAACCCCTACTAGGGCTGAAAGGTTTTGGAAAATAATCTAATTGCGATTTTTTTTTAGCTTAATATTGCGATTACATGGGATTATTATTATCCAGTTTAATTTATATAACAAATCTGTTTCCTATTAATCTGTTTTATTTAAAGCACAGATTCCAACAACAATGGAAACAAATCTGCGGCTTTACCTTATTAACATCTTTTTATGTTTCATGAAACATGATAGGTAAACATATGGACTCCACTCCTTAAACACTGCCAGATTTTAACAGGACTGTCTATAAATAAATAGATAAAATAAGATATGAAAGCAATATTAACTGATCAGTTGCATCACACAAAAGTTGCGAACTGCTCCTTTTTGGCGCCAGACCTTCAGTTGTGTCGGTTTTTGTCGCGTCTGAGGCCATTGTTCAGCAGGTTACTCGCATACGAGAATCAACTTTCCCTCCGTGCTACTTCGATAGAATGTCACCTCCTATCACGTGACCCGTCAAATCAGGGCCTTTGCGTTTAGAAAATCTCGCCTTACCCTATCGTGATACAGTATCATTGCAAATGCAATTAATCGTTCAGCCCTATAGGTAATTCTTAGATTTCTGCCATTTTTCACAGCTACCAGCTGGAAGAGTTAACCCTCTCAGGCTCAAATTAAGTTGTAGTCGCAGGAAAAATCTGATATTTGGAGAAAATGATCATATGGGGTAGTAATATACAATTCAGACTTTTTTTTGAGAGAGAGACTTTCACATGCAGTGAATTCTGGGATGTTGCAGATTTGCAACAGTGGCCCGGAGTGTTAAATTAACACTGAAGACTGAATCTGATATGAACGTTAACTTTATTTAAAGGTCGCAAACAAAATTTTAAATTTTCTCTCACAAAATTAGAGACAACTTTCTCTCAAACTTTTTCTCCACCGACATCTCAAAACCTCTTTGGAAGGTTGTTTCTGTTAAACTGTTGCTCAAAATATAGGCAAACTAGTAGATAAAGCATGTAGCATCCATTGGTACCTGTTTGGGCACACGTTGCAAATCCACAACAATGAAATCGAGATGCCTCTGGTGAAAAACCCAGAGGAGATAAAATCTACTAATTGTCATGTGCCATATCTGCAACATCTGCCTGGAGAGGGTTAAGGGTTTAAGTCTGCAGCCTTAAAATAAAGCATTTTTTCCCTTGTTTTAAGAATTTCTATGTTTTGTTTATAGATTGGATCATTATTATTAGAGACCCGGTAAAAAACATTTTCAGTTTCCTAAGTGACCAGACTAATATGTAGAATTTCCTGGTGTTTCCAGGACTTTTTTTTCCTTTTGCCTTTAGACGGGAAACAGCCGAGCCACATCTTAGATGTGGTACTCAGTAATAGACAAAGAGGTGGTTTCCCATCATGTTTGTGTTTTTATTTTGCAGTTCAGTTCAAGACTCTGAGTTTTGAAATCATTTTAAAAAATGGCTAAAATCCTAGTCAGGTCATAATTATCTCCCAGAGAAAAGGGAAGTCAGGTTTTATTAATAAATACAAATACTAGCAAACACTGGCAGCCATGATTTTTATTAACAAAAGTTACTAATGTGGGTGTTTTGGATACTCCCTGAATATATTTATTTTAAATTAAATGTTCTTTTTTTATTTTATAGTGTCAGTTAATGCTACCGCATCAACAGATAAAGGTTTCTCACGATTTTTTTACACATGTAAAGCAAGAAGTCAGAGTTGGATTTTTTGGCCTAAAATCTAAATATTCTTTTAAGATTAGCTTATTTTAACACCTTTAAAAAAAAAAATATATATATATATGTGTGTATAAAAAATATAGATATATTTTTTTTATTTAAAAGGTGTTAAAATAAGCAATTTCATATATATATATATATATATATATATATATATATATATATATATATATATATATATATATATATATATATATATATATATATATATATATATACACATATATACACACCGGTATATTTTTTTTTTTTTTTGCTGTTCTGTTTTATTAAACCACATTACTGAAATCCACCATAAAATATTCACAGATTTATTTACCCGTCAGCGTCAAAGGGAGCAGTTTGTCCCAATCCTGTTTCTTGAGGTGTCTAACCCTAACCATTTGTATAGAGGAGGAGCAACTTTTTATGCAGCTTAAATATAAGAAATGAGAAGGGAAAAACCGTATAGCAGAGAGCTAGTTTGGAAACTTTCAACGTAAAACAAAAGAACAATAGAAAAAAATTATTTTTTAATGGGACATAAAAAAACGCAGGTACTTCTGACTCATATAGCCTTTTGTTTGATAAAAAACAATGCCTCATAACATATCCAAGTAATAAAAAAAAAACTTTTGTTTTCCTCTCCATGGTGTACAGACAACTACAGAGTCCAGCTTTTCTTTTTAAGTTTTCATCCTTCACCAAAAGCAATGTATCTTTGTGTGTTTTGCAGCATTTATCCATAAAAGAAACGGTCTGAGCCATATTTAAGAAAATATGAAAAGACGAGGTCTTTTTTTTTTTTTTGCTGGGGGGAATTTCTCTGTTCTTTGTTTACATTACATTAATGTTTTAACCTAGGCGAGCGTTAAGCGCTGAGGATTATTGAATGTGCAATGTTTCTTCAGTGCACTTTGAGTTTGTTTGCTTATGTACTTCAGAGCACTCACTCTGCAATGTCTTCTCTATTAAACTTTAGTAAAGATGAAAGTTGTTCATTGACAACAGGGATACGTATCTTGAAAGTCACAAAAAGTTAATTCGACTTAGAAATCCAGATTCCTTCTCTTAATCCTCCACATTATTCCAAATGTTTTTACCGAGAAAACTTCTAAGTAAAACTGGACCTCTTCAATTCATTTAAAATTTAGATCTTTTTTTTTTGTAATGTGATTTATGCTGAAATGTGGAAATGATTTGCGCTGCCCTCCACAATCTGCCATTACACTAGCTTTCTAATTGCTTATATTTATTATTCCAATATGTATTATCCTAACAGTGACCTAGAAGGGTATTGCTTAATAAAACAGTACATTGTGTTGCTGTTAAATCATTTCTCAACTAAATTCAGCTCATGTGATGTGGTTATAACAAAAAGCAGAACTTCTCCGATGTCTACAGGTATCAGATATCAAACATCAGAGCTTCCTTTTGTTTTGCTTAAAATAAAATTGAAAGTACTTGTGATGAGTTTTATGTGAATGTTAATCCTGTTTAAAAGGCAACTGTGTGAAAACATCAGGCTTGTTCTGAATCCACAAACACTTCCTATCAGTCTTTCCTTTCTCATTAGAGGGGCGTTTGCATGACATTTTCTTACCACTTTTTGGTTTGTTTTTCTGGTTAAAAACATAAAAAGAAGCATAATTGTTTTTTTTAAATATAAAATTATTCTAGTTTTGTTAATTTATGCCAAGGTTTCATTTAGGTTTGGGCATGTTTTCAGTGTTTTTGTTAAAGATTTCATTTACCTGCTGCTGATGATGATAATGAGATTACTTGAGGTTCAGAAGTTCTGATGCTTCTTATTTTCATTTCTGACCTCTTTGCTGTTTAAGTGAATGTTGGAGGACATTTTAATGGTTTCCTTCTCGACCTGCAACAGAATTTCTTGTTTTGTTTTTCAGATATTTAGAGACAGAAAGTGGCTCAGAAGGGGGGGCTCCACAGTTCCTGATTTCTGTTTTTATTTATCAAAAAAGGAGCTGAATAAACCACACATGTATTTGAGTTGTACAGTTAGTATGTGTACATTATATATGTAAAGATCGTCATTACAGTAAAAAGTCCATATTTTGTCAAATAAAGTACATCAAATTTATCTCCAGCTCACTGTTTATGCAGATATTTGGTTAAAAAAAAGGTTGAAATTGTGCTCTATAGATGTAATGTGAATATGCTTTGGTTTAGCTTTAGCATTAAGAGGGTAAAAAACACAATAGACTTGGTATAAAAATGTTTTAGCTCTGTTCGCTCCCTGTCTAAACTTAACATTAACATTGTCGCAGTTAGCATGGCGTGCTACTTTTAGCATTCCCCGCTTACAAATACTCCAAAAGCGCAAAACACATATTAGTTGTATTTTATGTGGATAGTTAACACCAAAGTTGTGACATAAAAATGTTTTATGAATTAAAATCTCAAATAATATCATATCGCAAAAAATAAATAAATATTTATATGGCATGCTAACTGAAGCTAGCATAGTCATCATGTTAGCATCATTAACAAAACCTTACATTTTTCAAATGCCCATCTACTGAAAAGTTTTCAACTTTCACTCAACATGCTCAATGTATTTTTTTATTGTTATCTTTTGATTATTTTACAACAGGAAATAATTTCACG